AAGCGTTTTATTCACTTTAAACAACAGTTTGCTTGCTTATGTCGGCACAACCAGGCTCTCTTACAAAATACTTCTTTCTTAATTTGTATTTACGGCTTCTTTTGAACGCTATTCACGAGTCCTAATGTCTTATTATGGCCACTACGATGTGACGTTCAGGCTTTATGTGCAAACAATGAAGCGCTGAACAACTGCTACGAATACACATTAAATTACCGCAAATTGATTTAAAATAAACAAAAAGACCAAAAAAAAGAATCATTTTCAGCAGATTTGAGGTGTCAATTCTTCTTCTCTGCTGCATTTTCCTTCTCATGAGGTTCAAAGCCGTGAAGAAGACAGATTGCTTTCTTCAGAAGTATCTAGTAATGAAAATGACAAAGTGTGCGGCTGTAGCTGCTGCACTGAGCTGTAAATTGTGTTTTGGAAGGATAATAAATTGTTAGTGATTTGCCTATAAATATGTCTGGAGCTCGTAAAGTCCACTATCTGCTGGAAACCAACATGACTTTTTTCTTTCTTCCTTTTTTTTTTGTAACTTTTTGGTTTCCTTCTGTGTTGTTTTGACCACTGCACACACATATTCCATATTTATATTGAACTGATGTTCAAAAAACAAAACAAAATTATCTTAAGTGGATTAAATATTCATAATATTAAAGATGTGTCTCGATGGGGAAAATGCTTTAGAATTTTTTGTTGCAATACCACAAGTGACCACTAGGACAAATTAGCAGCAAGGCTCAGTGGTGCCGCTCTATCTGGATCTNGAGTTAAAAGAAAAATGGCTCCTCCCCCTAAAAGCTCAGCGAGTTGACCTGAACTTAGAGACGTGTTGTCGGCGTGCAGACTTACCGGGTGGTCTTTCAATGAGAAGAGGATCATCTGAAAGAAAGAATGTGAACATTTCACCGGAGGAATGGAAAAGACAGTTTAATGCATTGACCTAAATATGCGAATGAAAGACGAATAGAGAGCGTAGTGCAGCGTCCATCTGGTAGTCTGCTTCGCTGTCTATGTGAATATCATGCGCTGCAATAAAATGCATACAACCGTGGCGTTTTTAAGCGTTTGGACGTTGCACACATTTTTGTAAGAAAGAAAAATGTATTTGCCTGAGGTTTGAACTCTAATCAAGTGGGAATCTCAGTGTTTACAGGTGTGGACGGCGTGCGTACCTGATTCAGTCACGTAGGTGAGCGTGTCGCTGACCGGTCCCAAACCAAACACATTCTTGGCCTGCACCTTGAAGTAGTACCTGCATGAAAACAGACCACGATGCAAAGAGTCAGTGAGAAATTGAGCAGTTTAAGTGTCACTTTGCCAGTTTTGTTGTGACCGGCTAAAGGCAGGAGAATGATAACGAGTGCAGCAGATGACTTGGCGCGCTTCAGTCCGCCTGATTTAAGAGTAGTCCTATTTACACGAGTCCAAAGTGAGAGCAGCACAAAAAAATGGCCTTCTGGCTCCTGGTGAAGAGAGCAGAGGAGTGGAGAAGAAAAGGTGGACTAGAAAGGTGGAGATGAACAGATAAGACTAGAAGAATGAACGACAATGAGTGAAGGAGGCGACGTGGAAAAAGTGAAGTACAGAAATAAATGAACGCTGATAGAGAAGGAGAGCGTGGGTGGTTCAAAGGGAGAGAAATTTCTCACCCAGAGCTTTTATAAGTTACCAGCTTTCTTGCCAAAGAGCAAAACAAAGTCGTGCAGTGAGCTCACTTTGTTTCCAGGTGGCGGAGGAATTATCAAATCCTATCACATTAAAAACAACACCGGTGACAACTTCAAGAGTTTGCAAACTTTTTCCACTGCAGATGACTGATGTGTGCGTCTGAGCTTTCTTCCACTCTGCAAGGTCACATACAGTAAGTTCACGGTCCGTCGACTTCGAGCCAAAAGCTTTCACCACATACAGCCACGAGGCCTGGATCCAATCAGCGCGGCCACGTGATGACGCTGACCAAAATATGTCACCAGAGACGAGAGAGAGAGAAGAAACCAACGCAGCTGCAGAGAGGTGATGTAATGAAAGACGAAACTGATGAAGAAACTGGAGAAGGTAGAAAAAAAAGAAAATGCGAGCGAGATTATAAAAACAGAGGATAAAGTGCAAAACGTTACCTCACGACAAGTTAGCTGCATGAACATTTCAACACAGACATCTGGGAGCTTTGATGGAGGCACAGCTTTGAACAGCATCGAAGCAAATTTAGTCATACACGACAGCTGAACCTCAAAAACCAGTAAACCTGCACAAGTGGGTTATAAACAGGCCGGTTCTGTACAACAGTGTTCACCTCTCTGAAGAAGTTTAATATCTTCTCAATATCAAATCGTGGGCATTTGGATCGGTGCAAGAAGTCACACAGTTAGTGAAATGGAGTTCATGTGAGTGCAGTGAAGGTGTCTTAAGTGACTGTAGTCCAAAAACACCAGTAAAACACCTGAAGGTCCAGTCACTGGTGTGGTAGTACTCCCGGCTACTGAACACTTCTGCTTCATGAGGAGGTTATTAAAAAGCACAAGTCAGGGGACAGACACAAGAAAACTTCCCAGTCACTAAATATTCCTCATTAACAAATACGGCACATGTATTCATCTGCTTAGAACAGGACGTCCTCAAAAACTGAGGAACTGTGCAAGAAGGAGACCAGTGAGGGAGGCCACCAAGACTCCTATGTCTCCTCTGAAGGAGGTACTAGAAGGAGACCAGTGAGGGAGGCCACCAAGACTCCTATGACTCCTCTGAAGGAGGTACGAGAAGGAGACTAGTGAAGGAGGCCACCAAGACTCCTATGACTCCTCTGAAGGAGGTGCAAGCATCAGCTGCTGAGATTGAGGAGACTTACAGAGACTAACTGTTGTCTGTTCATCACCAGTCAGTTTTGTAGGCGAGAGGTGAAGAGAAAGCTGCGGTTGAAAAGGTTCATGAATCTAAAAGACAGAAGACATGTGAGCGACTCTGAAGTCAACTAGAAGAAAGTTTTTTGGTCTGATGAGACCGAACTTCAGCTCATCAGCCATCAGATCAGACACTGTGTTCAGTGGATACTGAACACCGCACACCATCACAAACACACCATCCCCACCGTGAAGCATGGCAGCGGCATTATCATGATGTGAGGAAGCTCCTCGAAAGCCCTGGAAGGCTCGTAAATATAAAGGGTTAATGCTGAGAAGTGCAGGGAGCTCATGGAGGACAACCTGATGCAGCTGCAAGAAAACTGCCACTTCAGAGATGGTTTGTTTACCAGCAAGACGAAGACCAAAAGCAAGCAGCTGAAGCTAAAGCTAAAGCTAAAGCTAAAGCTACACTGAGATGGTTTAAAGACAACGAGGTGAAAGCTTAGAGCTCAGAGGGCTTTTATCATCGACAAATAATCTAATTGTTTTCTCTGTTAATTGATCTATAAAACACTTCAGAACAATAAAGAATGCCCATCACAGCTTCCTGGAGTCATCAACAGTCTTGTCTTGTTGATCAGAATAAAGTCATCAGACAATCAGTTTACTGCTCAGACGATGCTCACATCTGAGCGTTTGTCATTTCTGCATGAAAAATGGCTTCAAGTGAATTCTTACTTGCAGATAAAACAATTCTTGACGTCTCTATTGAGCTCAGAAATTAAAAGTTTACTGATGTTCAAGTTTTGAGTCTACTTTCAGTAAAAGTCATTCACAGTCTGAGAGATGTGATGTAAAAAGCCAGCTTTAGTAGAATATCCACAGAAAGTACATCCCTCAGAGTTTGAAAAGGAGGACTTGTGGATGCAAGGAAACTTTCCACGTGTGTGCACATACTGGTGGAGGTACTGGTACTCCAGCTCAGTGGTTCTGGCGCCCAGAAGGAGCCTCCAGCATGGGAAATGCCAACACTGTCCCATAAACCATCCCATGATCTTGGATACGAACTGGTTGCCAGGGAGGGAAACCCTCTTTGTAGACTCATGGAAAACTTCACCCTCACACACGACTGCAGTGTTTGTGTTCAGCAGCAGGTGTTTGGTTTGTTGAAGTCCAAGATGTTGCACATATACAACAACACGGGCCGACGGGACGCCTCTGTTCCTGATACGCGTCTGAAACTGCAAGCTTTGCGGCGTATAAAGTCAGTTAGTTTGCTTAAAACGATCTATAAATGTAACTTTACTTGGTGTGCCACATGGGAAACAACCAGAACCAGATTTCTGAGACAGCATCCAAATTCTATTAATTTAAAAAGGTACACAAATGTGTTTTTAAATGATTATTATTGAGCACATTGTTGACTGAGTGTGAAGCGTTTGACGATGTGTGGTCCACTCCCCCAGCTCGCCTCACCCAGACAATACAAAAACCATGTGTTGTTTCCACTGAGGACTTAAGTGATGTTTTGCCTTCGCGTCTGCCATTTATTCAGCTTTCTTGCACATTAAAATGCCTAATCACCATGTTTATGTGAATCAATAATTTAGAGGGCTTACCTTGCATCAGATAAGTAAATAAATACACACAGGCTGTGCATCAGATCTCTAGTTTCAATGAAGTTGATGAACAAATGGAGAAAAATAATCAAAATGTAATTAAAGTGTTTACTTTCTTAAGCAGAAAACCCATAAAAGTGCCAGAGGATTAAAAAGGAATCGAGAACGCCCCCCTCTTCCTCTCCTGGGTCCATGTTTCCATGAATTTGTTTTCAGAACCGTGACCCGTGTCTCATTAGATATGATTGTGGAAACACGCTTCAATAACCGAAACAGACGGAGACGGCCGTGTCTTTATGTACGTTTCAGGTAATGTGTGCAGTGTTTACGTTCCGCTGAGTTTTCTAAGGTCTCAGTGGAGTTCTACAGCATGTCGCTGTAGATTCAGACCCGGTTCCTAACCTGCCTCCATTTAGACAAACTGATCCACTCTGAGGATTTTCTCTGTATTATAGCGTCTAACTCTGGTTTGATATCACATCTGGCCACATCCCATCATGTATACACACAGGAAATCACACACAAACACGCAGCCAAGATGTGCATTCAGTCACTAAAAAGTCAGAGTAAGTTATCTCACAGCCGAGCAAATCTTTGTTGGTGAATTCCCTTTAATGACTCCCGTGTGTGAGATGATAAACGGCTGCACCTGAAAGTGTTCTGGATGCACTAATCTTCTGCCAAGCATGCAACGTATCAACAAACACAATAAAACCTGTTACCTGGAGTTGGGTTTGAGGTTCTCCACGGGAAGGTGGGTCCCGCTGGAGGCTCTGGAGGACCACCTGTTGTTCAGGACATCATCGTATGAAGCGCTGTGGACCATGTAGCCTGCAGGGAACAATACAGAATACATGGTTAGTCACAGCAAGAAAGAAAATCAGATTCACTGTTGCAGAAGCAGAAACAAGATGAAGTGAAACATGACATTGGTCTGAGGTCGAGCTTTAAAGCTGGGACAGGTGGGATTGTCCATCACCTTACATCAGACTGTATGTTGAAAATCCAGCCTGTAATGGGAGGTTTCATTTCTGTTCCCCCAGAGCAGGTGAGACAGAGCGAGCAACAACATCTAGAGGCGCAGCAGGATGTTGCTGTGGGTTAGATGGACAACCTTTAACATTTAGCTCGACTATTTTCTAAAAAGCCTGCAAATGGCGCCGCTGGTCTGGAGGGACGTGGGACAGACAGGAGGCCAGAAATTCACATTTTTATTCTCTTCCAGATTTCTGCCTACTTTAAAGGAACAGTTGTGAGGACTATATTTATATAGTCCGATGAGAAAATCAATAGCGCCTCTCTGTTTATGTGGTAATTTTAACGCTAGCACCAGAAGCAGACTGCTGCAGCTCAGAGTGGAACCTGGCAGCCGGACACTGTCTAAAGTCAAAGTGTAATACTGGATCATTTCTTGGTTTGGAAACAGTAACGTCCAAGAGTCAACCTTGCGGAGATGAACTTAATCCACCTGGCTGCTTCAAATTTACAGTTTCTATCTATAACGTAGCCTCAGAAAGGTTTTATTACTTCGTCAGACTCGGACTAACGTGACTTCTGACTGATGATTTACGAAGCACCAGCTTTTATTCTGTTGTTCCAGCTACCTTGTGACCGTAGGTGGTCTCCCATACGTTTGACTGTAAGAAAAATTGTGATTCTGGCATTTTGTGCAGCTCATGCTGACTGGCCTCCAACCTGCCTGCCTCTCCGTCTGCTTTCTTCTTCTTCTCTTCAGTCACGCAGACTAATCCTCAGAATCCAGTAAGTAACCTGAGGTCATACAGTACTCGATCACTCACTTCAGAACTATGGAGACCAGCTCAGCCGCACATCAAGCTGCAAACTGTTTCTATTGGACTTTTGAGTTAGACTCTCTGTTTTAACTGGATCTGCACCAACACAGCTGGCTGCTGACTGGAGGGACGGGACATACTACCTACTTTGTTTTTTTTCTTCTGGGGTTTTCATTCTTTCTCCATTTTGCATAGTTAAGCTGGGTTTCAGTAAAGCAGCAGCCTCTTATATTTGCCATCTGCTCGAGTATCTTTCCCTGCTACGAATTTCTCGAATGCTTCCCTGGAAGGCGGTCCTCTGAGCCAAAACCAACAGTTATAATCCTCGCTGAATGATGTGTATGTTTCGCTCAGAAGCTTTAAGGAAAAGCTCCTCGATGCATCACGGTGAACGCGAGCAGGAGCTGGTTTCAGGTGAAAACTCACAAAACCGCACGCTAACAGCTGTTTCCATCTGCTTGTTTTAAAAGCCGTGACCCATAAGTCGTAAGGCACGGTTGTGCAAACACGCCCTAATAACTAAAACAGTGCGTTGTGATTGGTTCTGCATGTGTGGAGCTATACCTGCATATGTGGCCCAGATAATGTGTTCTGGATCTACAGTATAGATCTTATATTGGTCCAAGCTTCAGGAAATTTCACATTTATCTGTTTGAGAAGTCTGTGCAGCTCAACGTTCATAATTTCTTAGAAACAAACACTTTTCTAGATATTTTATATTTGCTGCACACTTCTACATGATCTGTCTCAGTGTCAGTTTCTGAAATGCGACACGGTTGAAACACTAACGGATAATGTTGGTGATTTTCTCTAACACGCTTTTTCATAATGAAAAATATGGGCACTGTAGTTTACTTGGAAACAGCTCCACAGTCTCTGGAAATCAGTTTTTTTGGAAAGTCGACGTGTTAAAGTGTGAAACATGTCACCCAGCGTGGCTGCTTGTGTTTCACTGAGATGTGTTTTTAATAGTTTCTGGACAACAGTGGAGTTCTACAGCGCAGAGGCAGGAATTAAATCAAACATTTAAACATTTACGCTGTTGCTCTTTCATTTTTTCACCAGGAAGGAATGCTTTCTTTTAGCATATTTCCAGACAACGCGGGTCAGTGAAGCCTTTGGGACAGATTTGAGTGCAACACCATGAAGGTCAGGTTTGCTTATCTGTCTCTACGTCCAGACAGACTCCATTTGTTTGGCGGATTTTGAGAGTTGTTTCTGGTTCTCTTGTTTGAAACTTCACAGCCTTTTGTCTGCCGATCAAATCAATGTACACTGATATAAACAACCTGAGACAGCCGTAGTGTCGGATAAGGACACGCTCCACTGCTGGAAATGATAAGATTTTCCTTCAGAAATCAGACGGGGGCTCCAACATGTACAAGTTAAACATTGTAGTTGTAATCAGTCACATAAACAGTCCCTCCTATGTTCATTATTTGTGTTCAAGAGTTCATTAAGTCCATGTTTTGCATAATCCCTGTCAGTGAGCTGCTTCATATCTATGATTAATCTTCATTTATTTATTAATAAAAACAAATCTAGCTGTCTGTAACAGATGCTGTTTGCAAAACCACGTCTCAATTTGTGAATCCTGTCATAAAAAATAATTATTGTGGCCAAGATAGATGCAATAATGCTCAACAATCCCCTTAACTCAGCACTGCACCAGTTAAACTAGTCACAGTACATGTTTACCAGGGTGACCGGTCATCAGTGACCTCGTCCATTCTGAAACCTTCTCAACACAGCTCGTTACCAGGATCAGTTCATCGCTGAATTTTATTTTTGTTTTTTTGCACAGGACGTGTCGACAGGGAGAAAAATGATGTCAGTCAAAGTAATTCTTAAAGTCACACAAACGGCAGAAAGTAATCAGCAGGCGCCAAAAACGTCCAGACAAATGAACTATGAGCTGCATTAAAGTAACACAGGGAGTGTCAGGAGCAGAGAGAAAACACCGAGGAGCACAGATGGAAAGTCAAGGAGGAAGAAAACAGCAGTGACAGCACAGACCATCTATCTGGTTTATACATCAGAGCAGGATCCCGTCGGCACTACGACCAGGAGCTTGTGTTTGCCGGCCAAAGAAAACAAGAAGCTTCTCAGCTGGCCAGACGGCTGCTTCTGATAGTCCACCATGTCTCATATAGTGTGTTCTTATCTTCACTCTCTTCTCTGTCCTTTTTTATTTATTTTTTTTCCTTCCAGGTCAGAGAAATGTTGGTTTTCCCTGAGAATCAGCAGGAGCTGAGCGATGCCCAGGTCCATGCGGCATTCGGGGCAGTTCATGATTTATTCACAATAAACTGCCAGAGCGAGTTCTTAAAACGCGAGTCCAGAGGGATGCTGGTGACATGTTCAAGGTATCTGCTGAACCACCACAGATCAGGAGTCGATGAAAGCTGTGAAGCTTTAAAGTTGAACGGAAACTGTAATTCTCCTTGATTCTTTGTGAGGAAATATAAGCTATGGATGGGCAGCTTCACCGACAGTGAAGGACGCTCATAACAGATGTTCCTTCAGCTTCTGTGCTCCTCTGCTTTCCTTTAAAAGGCCCACCGCTTATGTACAGTGTGCAAAATCTATCACAACATTCAACCACTGGGGAGACTCACTGTGTTGTTTGTATTCCTCTTAGAAAGTAAAGAAGTGCACGTTATGTGAACTAACCTCCATCTGCATAGAGAAAGCTGGGCTGTGTCCAACGCCACGCTCTCATTCACGCCTTCACTGCACAGCGACAGACAGCTGATAGCTCTCTGAACCACAAAATGGGTTTAAAAAGGCACATTCGCTTTAAAAAAATGCCAAAATGACATCATTTATCAGAGCCAGAAACTGTAAAAACACAGAAAATCGTTAGATTTTCAGCTTTCCAAGGGTTCTTGAACTAATTACGTGGGACATTCAGTTCCATCTGGAAAAAATAACCCCCAAAAAACTTAGAATTGTGATAATTCATCACAATCACTTTATGCTACGTCTCATTTCAAAATTCATCCAAAATAAGCCAGCTGCAACAGATTGTGTAAAAAAACAAGACGTTCTGCGCCCTGTGAACCCGAAGCTGACCAACAATCAGCTGGGACGAGTCATTTGGTGAAAACGCTGCGACTGTTTGACTGAACTGCAGGCTGTGTTTACACCGAGCAGAGAGGAAAGTAAAAACCATGAGGGAGCAAACAGAGCGTGGCTCAGAAACAGTACAGAGGAGCAGATACACTGAGCACAGTGAGTCGTGTGAAAAATGCCTTGTAGAGGTTTTAAACAGTAAAATATTGTTTGTGGAGCAATTCTTTTATGTTTGCATCACCTTTAGGCACAAATGTTGTTGATTCAGGTTGTATTTTTTGTAAAGGGGGTTCAGGACTTTAGACTGAAGTGAACAATGTGACCGGAGCAAAAACAACCAGGAGCTGCTTCGGGTTCAGACGGTTGATCTGGACGTTTAGTCACCACTGNTAGTTGTCTGGTAAATGTAATGGAGCAAAAAGTAAATATTTGAATGTAAAATTGCACAAAATTAACCCCTAAAGTACAATTACAATAAACTGTTCTTAGTTTGAGGTATATTTTTAATTATAACGTACTGGAATAAAAGAATTTCAATACACAACTGATTCCACGTCAAACCGCCATAATAATAAATCACTAAACCAACCTGGATATTTACGGCCGGGGTGTCTGATAGCTCAGCCTGTCTTTGCCAGTAAACTGGTATTTTCTCAGTTTTTCTGTCTCTCACCTGTCTCTGCTCACAATCTGTTGTTTTTGACGTTTCATCAGATCATAACAGCCGGAGCTTCCAACTGGCTCAGCCAAACGTCGTCTGCTGCTCAGATCTTCCATTAGGTTGATTAAGTAGATCTGGATCACGTGTGGAAGCTTTTGCTCGAAAAGAATGTGGCAGCCGAGGAAAATACGATATGATTCATGTTTCTGGATCGCTGTGGTTTCCATAGCACCTTTATTCAATCTCCCACAGTTCCTGAGCAAATATTTGGTCTTTTATTCTTTGTCCGTATACATACAAAACTTACACAGTAACTTTAATGAATTCTGGCGAATACCAAAAAGGGTGTAAAAAACAAAAACAAAACAAAACAAAACAACAAAAAAACAAACAGTATGATGGTTTAAGAGCACAAATAAACAAACAGGAAGTAGCTGTCAGAAGCCGCTGAATGATGAAATACAAACGTCACGATTGAAAAATGAACAAACCTATACACACCTCAAGTGCTCGTTCCTACAGTTTGCTTTGCAGCTTGTTCTTTGGTCCGTTGTCGCTGGTGTGACCGTGTGTGTGTGTGCATTACTGATGAGATAAATAACACTGGATAAGGACCTGTCTCTGGGATACGTGGGAATAGCACAAGGACACGTCGAGACAAGAGTTAAACTAAGCAAGAGCACACATGCTTCTTTTTCCCTCATATACAGACTGCTTTATATAAAAAGTGCATTGTAATGATATACATTGAATAGTTTAAAAGTACTATATTCTCTTTCTCTGTGAAGCTGTAATAAAGTCGTAGTGGTGTCTCTTTGTGGCGGCGGCCGGCAAAAGTCTGTCTTTAAGGGCAAGACCAGCGATGGTGGGAGCCTGCAGCAGGATGCAGAACAGTTGCCCTCGGTAACGACGTCTCCTCCTGTGTTACCACTTCCCGGGGATGGGCACCCCGCATTCATACCAGCCCACGAACGGATGGGACGTGCGTCGGCCGATGACTCCGAACGAAACCGGCTCCTGTCTGTAGGCGCGATAAAATCCTGCAACGAAAAAAGCCACATTTTCACATGAATATAGAGCAAAGTTTGAACCAAAAAAAATCCACAAAAGGGCAAATTAATGTGTTCCTTTATCCGCCACGGTTGACTGCTGAGATGCATCGAGATAAACAGCTGGTTGCTGTTAAACCAGATCCACAGTGAGATGATGTTTTATGATGTAATGGACAAGCATGAAAGATAAAAGCAGCTTTTCTCATTAACTCGCATGCTTCATGTGCATCATAAGTCTGTTTTCAAAATAAATTCATCACCTTTTTTCCCATTTTTTTAATCTTTCAACCTCAGCCAAGACTAAAACCAAAGTAGGAACAACAATATTACATAATCTGAACTCTTTCTTTCAGAACTTGGAGGATTCCCACTTAGCTTTTAGCTTAGCTCATATACAAACTGCAAAACAAAAACAAACTGGTGCATAAAAACACATGTATCTCAAAAAAAGAAAAGGATCAGGACACATGACAGTAAAATAAAGATGACGTAACCGTGAACCTTACTAACACTTAGGAGACACTTAGAAAATGTAGTAATGAAGCTCAGTGTATTCATCCTGCAGCCATAAAAACTTACAGCACGAGCGTTTAATGGACATAATTCCCCAACAAATGCACTCCTGCTTGTGTTTGATGAAAACTACGGCATCCAGCTGTTCTACTGAACCTTTAACACCAATCAAACCATATATTCGGTAGGAACCAGCGGGTTGGACCACCGTGACCAGCGCAGAGAAGTCTGACAGCCCAGACAGACAGATTAACGCCCTTTTCCCATCGGATTTGTTGACAGGAAGCTAAACACAGACAAATCAGGTCTGATGTACTCTCATTATGCACTAATATGACCTGAAACCAGTAAATGCCAGGAAGTTAGAGCCGTAATCGAAGACGTTATGGTATAATTAGGAAAATGTTTTGGGCTAATGAGAACCATGTGGGATTTGACCTGAAACATGCAAATCCCTTTAACAAGTATTCATTTAAACATGATTCTGCATCTGTATTCAATGCAGAGATAAAAATCAACGCAGGTGGTCCGCTGCAGAGCCAGAGAGCCCGAAAAAAATGATAATACGTTAGTCCTGACAACAAATGTGCCATGTGGACAGTCTGTTCTTGCTTACCTTGTGCTGAGGGCAGATTGTTGGAGAGGTAGGCCGGGCCCGTCCTTCCATCCCTGTAGGAGTCCACGAACTGGCAGTGGTCCTCTCCCTGGCCGAGCGTATCTCCTATACTGTAGAAAGGCTCTGTGGGGGAACACGGGCGTCATTATCAGGAAACGTTCAGTTATTTACGGTTTATTATTTCCCCAAAAAGCCAGTGCAGGGGTGGAGGAGGCTCTGATGTAAATCCTGAAGATGTAAACAGTCTCGATTTATGATTATTAAGCACTAATGCAGGATGCTGCCTTCCAGAGGACAACGGCAGCAGCTTACTGGTTTGGAGAGCAAAATAGCCCATTTCATTCTATTCAGGACTTGTGGACCCCGGGCCATTTGGTTCAGGTGACAGGTATTGTTTTGTTTTTTATCTTTGAAGATTTTTTTCAAAATATAAAAAGAGGGACATTTGTCATTAATTTGGAACCAAAAGTTAAACTTTAAACTTATCAGATAATTTATTTAACATCATGTAAAAGTCTATAATGAACACCAACAGATATTTTCCAATGGACCCCAATAAAGACCTTCTACGTAGGGCAACAAGTCCTGAACAGGGTTGAAACAGCTGTAGTACCAGGGGTATAAGACTGCTGAACCATCTTTACAGTTTTTTCTGAGCTGGAAAACAGATTGTCTGGACATGTGAGTCCTAATTCATTTGCAGCAAACAGGCACAATGTGGAACCTTTAAGGGCTTTTGTCTTGCTTTTTTGGTTTCACGCGGTACATTACCTCTCAGCCCGTCTCCCATGAAGATCTTGTATCGTAGGGAATTACACAGAACCACTCCCACAAACTTCCTGTACCACGTCCGCTTGACGTACTGGCTGCCCTTACAGCTGCTGTGGGCTGAGTTGTACTTGAAGGTGAACGGGATCCAGATCGGTTCTCCACCTGTGGAGCACGGAGGAACAGAGGAAGAGAGGCATCAATCTGGAGCGGTGAAGTATGCATCATCTGCATAGAAATGTCATCAACGTAGAGGAAGGTGAGAATATAGAAGTGCTGAAAGTGTTACGGCTCTATGGAGATGAAACGCTCTAAACTTTCCAGAAGGCTTCGTGCATACGACTAAATCCAAAGCATTTCCTGTAAGTTTCTCTTAAAGCGGTCTGAATGCCTTGTTGTTATGTGCTACACAAAGCACTTCGACTCGCCTTCTGGAGGAAAGTTGCTGCGTCAATAAATCTGCCCGATCAAGGGAGGATTTAGGGCGGGAAACAGATGAAGTTGTTCAGTTAATCTGATCTAATCTTGTTCATATAATGCTATGTGTTCGCAAACACAGAGTCCCAGAACAACCTCCTGTTTGAGTCTCACACTACAACATGTTTCAGCACACGTTTTAAAAAAGGATGCCCTGAATGTGGCTGCTGAAGAATTAACATGCTGAAAGGTATCATTCACAGGTGAGAAATAAACCCAAGCTTTTATAGCTTTAATGTGAACAAGCTCTTTAATGGACACATTATTGCTTAACTTCCGGTAACACATCTGGCTGTTCACACTTCTTACATATAATACGGTAATACCGGCTGGCACACTGTCTTTGGAAAATATGTCTCCATACAACGACCTACAGTTGAATCAGAAACAGCTGATCAATGTTCAATATCAGACTTGTGATCAATCTAATTTGTCAGACTGCACATATGGTCTGCTGTTCTCTGATAACACACCAGACGACCACCTGATGACAGAACAAAGTCTCTCTCCTGTGTGTCCCTGTATAGAGTCAGTGGTGTTAGGAAAGAACTAAAAGAGCGAACATTAATAAGAACGAATTATTGTTATTTACGCGCCGGTCTTTTTAATAATAGCACTAAAAATAGAATTAATTTGCATTCTATAGAAGTAAAACACAGACAGACTTTAATGATATTTTTGCTGGGAAATGATCAAACTAGCTTGGATTACCAAGCNATCAAGCCCAAGATGATGTCTTTAAACGCTTTGATTTGTCCCACCAACAATCTTGTTCAGTTGCAAATATAAAACCAAGTTAAAAACAAAACCAAAAGGAACCTCGACCAGAGAAAGTTTTGGCATTTTGCTTTAAAAGTGGCTTAACTGGAACTTATTTCATTGTCAGGTATCTAATGAACTCACCTTTAATCTTCCTCCTAATAGTATTTCACTGTTGAGCTGTCAGGACAAATCACTGAAGAATTCACATTCTCAGATTTAGGACACAACAAATAAAGCAAAGGTTGGATCTGGTGCTGATCGTGTGACTGTGGACTCTGTGGCCCGAGTTCGTTCGGCTTCCTGTGACCTGCCAAGTCACTGAGATGTTTGGCATGCTCAGCACTTTGTACAGTGCCTATAAAAAGCATTCACCCCTGTTGGAAGTCTTCTGCTTTTATTACTTTTCAACATTAAATCATGGTCAATATAATTTGGCTTTTATGACAAGAATTTACAAAAAGAAAAAAAAAAGCTCCTTTTTCATGTAAAGTGAAAACAGATTTCTACAAAGTAAAGTCAGATAATTAAAAGTATAAAAAGTGAAACAAGTGATTGCATAAGTATTAAAGTGACTCACCTAATGCAACACAGGTGCAGCAAATTGGTGCTAGAAGTCACTTTAACGCTACATTGAGGATGTATGTTATTTATAATAACTGTACATTAGTGAATTGTTTAAGTTCTGGAGAAGCAGAACTTCTTACCGGACACCATGTCGTCCTTCAGGGGCTGGGCCCAGTCCAGGATGATGAAGGAGTGGCAGCCCTCCATGGCGACCACCGTGAGGTTATGAGGCTTGTTTTTGGGAGGCTGCTTCTGATTGGCTGCCATGCTGTCCTTCTCTATCAGGTTTTCCAGGACGTCGACCTGAAGGTAGTCCAGAGCCTCTGTCAGAGAGCAAGGAGCGCCCGGATCCTTCTGGATGTAGTTCACATAAGGAGCTGGAAAAGATGATAAAACATCAGGTTTTCAATCTAATTATGCACTTTTGAGTGAGATGTTTCTTGTTCAGGACATTTGGGGTCTTTTGGACCGCAGCACATTTGGTTTAGGTGACAGGCACTATACATATATATATATATATATATATTCATTTGGAACCAACTTAGACCTTCTACGTGTGGCAACATGAAAGTCCTGAACAGGGTTAATAAAGGCAATTTAAAACAAAAAATAAAATATTCATCTTTCTCTGATGGTAAAATGTTATTGCTATACATAATCTTCACTTTCTTGGTTATCATATTTAATACGGGACTCAGAAGTTATCGCTCATGTCACCGTCACCAAACTTTCCCTTTTTCTCTTCCACTCTCATTATTATTATTATTTTATTTGTTTGCTTCCAGTGACTGTGGAAATGCGAGCCGGGCCTACAGCTGCGAATACTTCAGATCTCCCACAATTCCTAGTCTGACTGGGATTTGGAGGGAACTGCTGGAGCCTGGAGTCGCTCCCACCTCCCCAGATGATCGTCGCTCTGTGAATGCCAAGAGTCTAACACATGTCAGTATCTCACACATCAGCCCGCGGTCCGGTGGGCTGTGTGGGTTTAAGGTGTTACAAGCTACTGTAGGTATATATGTGCAGGCACGTGACCTTTGTGCTGCGCATTCATAAACTAAAATACATGATTTGATGTCAGGGCGAGCAGATTTATGCGTCGGACTATTCACAGGGTGCTTGTAAGGCTGTATTTCTGTAAAGCATCCACATGTCCAGGATCTCTGCAGGCTCACGCACGTGGAGGATCCAGATGTTTTGCCTCGGTCATGTGTTCATTTTAAAATGCTTAAAGTACCTCCCTATGAGACACGCTGTCTTCGTCTGGCTTGTCGAAAGCCCAGATCCAAAAACACTGACGAAAGCTGGCGTGTGTGAGCCTGACGTGGATCAAATGTCACTGGGAAAAAGCATCGGGACAGTTCACATAGTGTCACTTCTAATATCAGTCTAGTAAGGCATAAATTTGCATTTTAATCGTCCAAATAATCTGGTGCTCATTTGCTTGTCCGATGTGACAAACTCCATCCATCTGGAACTGACTGTAGAGCAGGATCCACGCAACTGCTGAGAATTATTAGTTAATATTTTCTGTCCCACGTCTGCCTGGGGCTCCGTTCATTCAAACTGAAGCGAGCCTGGACAGATAAAGAGACTAAAGAGGAAATCTCTGTTAGACCGTTCACGCAAAGCATGTCAGTGTACTGGCAGGCTGCTGAAGTGGACCTAAAATATACTCAGCTAATAAATAGGAAGGAGGAAGTCTCCGCATCGAGCCAGCAGACTCCTCTTTCTCCGCTGAGGTCAGCACCCTTGGCTTTTACGATTTCCATTTTGAACTTGGGAGCGTAATAGCTTTCAGATGGCTGCGCGAGAAATGTAATCAGAAGATAGTCGCTGTTTACCGAGATAGACGGCGTCCAGAGCAAACCGCGCTGTCGTTTCATCGCTGCTTCGGGAGCAGATGATACCGATAGCTGTGACGCTGAACTGATAAAAACACGGCCATAAATCTCCCCCTTTTCAAAAAAGGCTTCTGAAGACGGTCAATATAAAATGACAGCGACAAGCTGCATTTAATCCGTCAATGAGTGAAAGCGGAGCCATTACTCAGGGCTCATATAGGAGCTCGGCTCACTCATTCACATCCAGAATGATAAACCTTGACTCCGGCTGGCCCAGAATTTGTGCAATATTTTACGATAACCACATGGCTCTGAAGGAGCTGCCTCGACTCCATTCAGAATTAAAGGGGCACTGCAGCAATTATACACGTCAAAGTCAATTCAGTCACCACGAGGAGCGCTCGGCAGCCTCTGAGAACACTGTGCCAGCACGAAACAACAACCACATCTCGGCTTGGGAGTGCATTTTTTAAACAAAGAAGCAGGACAATGAGGGTCTAACCAAAAATCCTGCTGATCTGAAGGATTTGGTGTTTTCTTGGCGCTTGACGGTGGAACTAAGGTCAGGCTATTTCAGACTTAACTGCACCGATTCTGACTCTCACAAGTCGGCCAACTTTTTGGAAGCACAACAGTAAATCACTTTATATCAGCCTTAGAAATAGAGTTCTGAGTTTAATGCAAGTATATGATGGTCCTTTGCTGCCATGTGATGAGTTATGGTTTGAGAACCACACGGCTTTATGTGTTTTGGAGTACAAACATGCTGTAGATGTATTTCTGAAGCTGGTTACTGCAGCGTACATGTGTTCACAGGTATTAGCTAAACGTGACATAAAGGAAACATCATTAAACAGTCAAATTAAAGGTCAGAGCGACGCAGATCCTGCTTTCGGTTCTGTCAAGTGAGTGTTCTGGTGTGTTTGTGCGGCCGTATGAGGTGATGCGGTACGAGAGGCCAACGTAAGCATACAGAGGCAGTAAAAAGAGAGCAGGGGGCCCACGTTTACGAGGATCACGTCTAGAGACCCTGAACAAAGTGTCCTCAGTTAACTCTGTTGTCGTGATCCAATTAAGGTGTGTTTGTATATTTTTTTTCTTTGCGGCACATTACTACGCAGTGCGAGTAAGTTCTATACTGTATTTATGAGGTATTGCTAAAAAAGCAACAGTAGAGGTCCAAATTTATTGTCAGTCCACAGAACGAACCAGAGCCTCCATCACTATCTACAGCGCTGAGAATAAACAGGTCAACCACACTCTTTAGCTGGAGACATGTGCTGTTTGTCATGTAAATATAAAGTGTGTTATTCTTGTTAAACCTTGACTAAACTTATGGAAACCAAAATAAAAAACACTCCTGCTAAATATGAGAAGAAGGATGGTTTCCCACACAGCAGGTCAAAGTAGAACATGTTATTTATCTGTGACCTCAGTATTAGCTCCAATGAACTCTTGCTCCTTGTGAGAGGCTTAAGTTCTGGGAGCAGGTTTTTAAAAAAAATAAAACCTCCATTAAATAGACACGGGTCAGGCACAGTGGGCACCTGAAATCTCAGGCTGATTTCTGGAAAAGACTACAACAAACTATTAATATTATTTTTGTCCTCTTGGAGCAGAAACATGCCGTAAACACAAAAAGTGACAAACTTACGCTCACATCTCATATTTCTGGCCACATTGCAAATATAAGTTTGATGTTCTCTCCTACTTTAGCTCCATTCTGGGTGTGTACTAACTCCTACAGTGAATATCCGGCCCGTTACGTTTACAAGCTGGTTGAACAAATGATCTATGTTGAGTTTGGTGCTGTGCCTTCAGTGTGTTGACAGCTCGTGGGACAGTAAACTGAAAAAACGAACTGAAAGACGTGATAGAGCACCACAGTGGTGACTAGAACCTTAAAGCTGCAAGTTGTAATAAGTAGTTTTTTTTACTGCAGACCACTGAAGGGCGGCCTGAGTCTTTGTGCGCTTTCAACGAAGACTCCAGAAGCGGCCCGGTAGAATCGTGACGCCGGACGGCTAAACTTGAAGAACACAACAAACGTCATTTTTCTACCCTCTTGACTTCCTTGTTGTGTATCTTCTCTCCAACATCAGCACCTTCAACATGAAACTCACTGTATAGGCTAACTCAACACAACTATGTCCTACGTGACCACAGAACTGGAAGTACGTACAGCGACTATCACACGTTGTCATTTTGCTGTTTTCTGAGGCTCCGTTTAGCAACAACAGTGATATTTCAATGAGCCTTTGGTTTACACGTAAACGAAGCTACAAGTCACCAAAACGATCACATCTGAAAACTTGCATGTGGACAAGAGGAGACAGAGTTTGACGTCACAGTGCGACAAAAGCACCATCAGCGTCACATGTTTACAGTTTAGCGACGTCCATATACTTGGACTGACGTGTTTACAGTCAATGTTTTCAAGAACTTTACTTGTTTTGTCCTCTAACACCACATTCAGTCCAAACAAACGACCCTCGCGCCATTATCGTTGAACTAACAGCAAGTTTTAATGTTTTTTTCCCAGGATTCTGATTGGCTAGCATGGCTTTATGCGTCTCGCTACACTGCCCCCTACAGGTTTGGCAGCTCATAGCAGCTCTTAACAACATGTTTACGTGGGTCTTTGAAAACAATCCGGTGTGAACAATGTTATTTTTGAAAACATATATGCGTTTTTGTGAATACCAGCGATGTGTAAACGTGGCCTGAGCTGCTGTTGTGGCCGAACTATCGAATCCTACACCGCTATGAAAACAGAAGCGCTGAAAGGTCTGATGGTGGTGGTTCGTGTAAAGGCTTGTGCCACTTTGTGCCTTCCTCGACTTCCTGCTGTGGAAAACCACATAAAACCTTTTCTTCCACAAGGGGTCATGTGTACAGTTTATAGTGGAGAGTGACTGCACAGAGCACATTAAGTACGTACAAGGATGCATTTCTTAAGTCTTTGAGTACCTGTGAATCGCTTCTTCCCGCTGAGGTCAAACTCCGATGAAGGGCCTCTGTTGGCGGGTCTGGTTTCTGGCTCTGGAGGAGGAGGAGGGCTCTCGGTGGTGGTGGTGGGAGGTGGCCGGGTGGTCTGAGCAAAAACGTCATCTAGCAACAAAACATGTGTCAATGAGCCTTTGATTAAATAAATATATTTTATTTACAAGCTAACTCGATAATTTACTGCTGTTCCGCTAATCCTTTGTAATTGTCGCCATGATCTGTGTAATAAGAGTGTCAGATACATTTAATTAATTGCGGGCAGCTGTATGAGCTCACTTTGAAAGGACCCAACGCCTAAAGCTGTATTTTAGCTGCCCATATTTTCCATCTGAGGAGGGGGAGGGGTCCTTGAGGACAACGGCTATTTCACAAGTCTCCAAAGCTAACAAATGTGGAGGAATTCGGTGGGTGAAGTTCAATTAGTTTCTTCCTCTTTCATCGCTGCTTTTTTCCCTTTGCTGCACCAGTGGACCTTGGCATTACATCATGATCCAAACACATGCAACCAGCTTTTTGCCGTGACGGGGTAATGCTAAGAACTTACTGCAACACTAAATGGGACTTCTCTAGCAAACCTAAGGAAGAAAGAAAATATCACATGCGGTGGATTCCTTCAGATATCCAAACACCTGTAGTGAACGCTAACATCAACCAAACTCTGCAGTTTTTCCGTTCAGCTAATGTTTAGCTGAAGCTGGGGCTCATTTATTACATTATAAAGCAATGATAAAACAGCAAATACATTGCATTAATTATAAGCCAGGGCATTCTCTTCAGCTTAGTAATGGAGTTCACATGCAGCGAGCGTCCAGTTTTTTGGAATAAAAGTGATTAAAAACAGCCCATAATGGAAAATATCCAAACCTCGAGCAATGAACCGAGACCAAGCCAAACAAACGTACAACAAGAGAAACAAAGTGGAGACCACAGACAAGGCAAGGAGGACAAGATGGAAGGAGCTAGGAAATAGAGTCACTGACAGACAAACAGACAATGAACAAACAGCGCAAAAGTCCACAAACGATGAGCATGCAGTGCAGTTGATTCCATCCTAGCCCAGTGGCGGTAGGTCGGTCCCAAGCCAGACTCAGCCAATACCTTTCTTAAGAGCTAAAGCATCAGGCATCATGGTCTCTGCAACCATGTGATCCATTTCCATCCCTGAGGAGTCCTCTGTCAGAGAAGTAGAACAAGCTGTAGCATCAAGGTCACATGACTGTGGACACATTCTGAATTGGCATAAATACATGGACATGTACTCCCACGCATCCAGATAGACAGAGCCACTCCAACACAGAGGGACGAGACAGTTTCAGCATTTTAATGTGACATTTTTGTCGTATGATTTGAGGCTTTCTGTGCGACTAAATCTGCCATCGCAAGGAGAATAGGATCTAGGAAACTTCATGGAAGCTATAAATTAATATCACTATGGTTGTTACTTAAAACACATCAGCCACAACATTAAAACCACAGGCAGGCAGGTGACACATCTCATCACAGTGTCATGTTCTTCTGGGAAACTTTGGGTCCAGGCATTCATGTAGACTTTGATACATACCAACCACTTCAACATTTTTACACACACCCACTAGCATCAGTACTCTTCCCCCAGCAGGACATTATGGCCGCTACACGGCAAAAACTGCCCCGGACCATGACAGAGACCAAGGCTTTGAACTGGTCTCAAAACCCCTCAGATCCCAAATGAGCATCCACGGGGTCTGCAACAAGTCCAGTCCACAGAGGCCCCACCCCACCCCACAACCCACTGGACCCTGCAACAACATCTTGGTGCCAGACACCACATGACACCATCAGATGTGCTGCTTCCACGCCCTGACAGGTCAGAGCTGTTGTGGCAACATGAGGGAGACCTACACAACACTCCACAGGTGGTTTTAAAGTTTTAATGTTTTGGTTGATTCGTGTATATCTACTGCTTAGTAGACTTTACTGTTTGTTATCCCGACTTATTCACTTTCTTCAGATGTTTACATTCACTTATGTAGCATAGCTGTAGCATCGTAGCTTCTGTATTTATGATTCAAAACTCTGGCTGACGTGGATGAACTGTTTGTACATTTACTCTGCATATAAAAGCTTTTGATGCAACACAAACAATAGCAAGAAGTGTTGCTTTTCTGATAATGGCAGCTCCATGCTTGTGTATTTATGTGTGGGGTACTTTTCTGAACTGGAATTTAAGTATTCTAAATATTATTCTAATTATAATCTCTATTTTGATTTTATTTTTTGGTTTATTGCAACTCTGCTAAACTGATCTTCTACACTGGGTTTAGTTTAATTATTTTCCAATTCCCCTCCGTCTGCGCAGTAAAACAATAACATCCTTTTGTGTGTTTATGCATGTGTGTGAGTACGTTTCAGTCCCTGTCTTTGTGTGGCAGCGTACGACTGACAGCCTGTAGTCTGTTTAAACCAGCAGGACTGTGACCACAGCCAGCTCCCAGAGGCAGCCACTCACATGTGGTTCCTGTGGTCTCACATATACAGTAGACAAACACACATGTACACGCACACGACTGACCAGATCACACGTTTACACACACAGTCATGGAGTTATAGGACTCTGTGGGTACAGACAGGAAGCCTTCACGGCCTTGGTTTGGATGGATTTAACAAACAATGCAACTGAGAGATTTAGTGAAGTCATACTTATTTATGTTCACTATGCTGGCTCTGAATCGGACTCCAGCTCTGTGGAAAAGCCATTAACTAAACAATAGTGTAAGTAGGAGTGCTGCAGTGCATTGTTTCATCCCTGTAGCACAAATCTCTATTTAAATTGATCTATTGTGATGGTTTGAGCAGCGTGTGATGAATTTCAAGTCAAAGGCTCACCTTCTGGATAACAGTCCAAAATTCCCTCTGGGTCCAGAACCGGATATCCATATTCATCTGTTTTAGAGAAGGTTCCCGGTGGACAGGTCGGGTACGGCATGGCAGTGGTAGACTCCTCCATGAACCATTCAGTGGTGGTGGGCTCAGGTGTGGTAGTAGGAGCCGTGGTGGTGGTGGTGGTGGTGGTAGTGGTAGTGGTGGTTCTTGGGCGAGGCCGGTCCAAACCAAGTACAGGTTTCCCTCCAACCATGAGGACCTTGTCTTTGGGGTTGACCACAGGCTGGCTATCTCTGCCATGGCCAAACAGTGCAATGCCTTCCTGGCTGACTAAGGGACTGCCCATGTGGTCTGGTGGTCAGTGAATGGGTAGAATCAGGAGAGGACACTTAATAATAATGATTTCATTTTGGACAGAACATCAAACAAAGTTGGCCCACTTTTTTACAAATACAGTTGGGCTCTAATGATTCTTAAGCAAAAGTTTAAACTTGTGATACCCAATCAGCTAAAGCTGTTCTGTTGGTTCACTTTGCATGAGCAAATATTCTAAAAGATTAATGCAACAGCTGTACCGCATTTGATTAAGTACATTTTTGCAGATTGTGTTTGAGCTTATTACATGACTAAATTAATCATATTACCAAAAATGGTGCGTCCATCCTCTCCAAGCACCACTCTCTTGGGTTTGCCTTGGGAGTCCTGGAGAACTTGTCCATCCTGGTTCATAAGAACTCCCCGCTCCAAGTCCACCACCTGGCAAAACAGAAATATTAACAAAAGCCATATAATAATTTGTTCAACTAAAATGAGAACCATGGCTTCATCCTGACTACGATTTAGTAAATCATGCTACTATTTACCACTTGTTCTCTTAAATTTACTCAACAATTGGTTTGCAAAATTTAAAAGACATTTTAGAAGGATAAAGGGTCAAAATTTGAAGCATTAAAGGAGAACTTTTTGGACGATGTGCTTATTTGCCTTGTGTTTGTGTTACTGTTAGGTAAGCTAACAGTAACCGTGACTTCACAGAAAGGTAACAAAAGCTACTTTCAAGAACCACTAAAGCTCACTCAGCAGTCACATCTCATTTGTATAATGTGAACAAACAAAACACTGTGGTTTTATTGTTATGTGCCAGACTATTTCTTGGACAGCCACAGCAAATTCCTGGTGTTTTCTCATTATGTAAGGTCAGCCAGTGGAAAGCTGCTTCGCCTTGTTTCCAGTCCTTATGCTAATGTAATGTAAGCGAAGTCTCTCCTGGCTGTACTTTCTATTTACTATACATATATGAATAGTGTCAATCTTTTTATGTAACACTTGGAAAGAGAGCATATAAACATATTTCAGATGTCTGTGACTATTCCTGAAAAATAAGGAGAATCTACAGCATTTTCTGTTGCACGTCAGTAGCAAAGGAAAGTCTTTATGCACTTGTTCTATCTGTTACACTGATATATACAGCTCATGGTTTAGCTCAGACATACTTACCCATTTGGTTCCATCAGGTCCAGTGATAAACCTTTGGCCTGTAGCCTTGCTGGTTCCATGAGAGGAAGAAGACTCTTTATCATCTGTTGCGGTCAAATTGGGTCGTCCATTTTTACCTAATTATAGAATTTAAGCAGAGCCACTGCATTACAGAGTTATTCAGTGATCATGTCACTACTCATTAGCTACTATTTAAGGTTTAAGGAGGATGTACTTGCACCTGCGGAGTAAAACAGTAGCTGTCAACAACTTCTATTACAAGCGCATACCAACTGACTTTACCATTTCCATTGCCAGGTTTGAGTCCTCCTCCATTGTTTGGTTTCCCTCTGATAATGGGATAGCGAGGCCGAGCCCCATTGTTCCTAAAGCTGTCTCTTGATGAAGATGATGACAATGACAGCGACGAAGACGACGATGTAGACTGAGAGCTGCCATCAATCAATCCCCCTGTCCTCGACACAGCAGTGCCACTATCCCGATCTGAGGTCAACACTGGCTGGGGCAAACCAGATGAAGAAGAGGAACCGGATGCTGATGAGGAGGAATCAGATGTTGAAGAACCCAGCCTAGAGTTTTGTGCTGATTGTGGTTTGATGGGAAGCCTAGACCCTCCAAACTGCCTGTTACCCAGGAAAGGAGAGCGTACCCTCCCATTCGCCCCGACACCAGGACGCCGATAAGGTGGATTGAATCCAGAGGAAGTACCAGGCCTAGTCCTGGATGAGGAATCCCTCGTACCCACACTCTCATTGTCCTCTTCTGCATTTCTGTGGTGGTCAGCTGAAGTTAGAGTTGGATTCTTTTGGGCTCCTGCAGGGTCTGCAACCTTGTCATTTTTCTCACTGATTTCTTCACTCCTCTCATTGAGATAATCCTTATTATGATCATAACTATTTTCATTAGAGGTTCCTCTGTGGCTCTGTTTATCAGAGTCTCTGTGTCCACTCGAGGAATGATAGGAGTCAGAATTTGAAGGGATGGATGCTGAAGAGGAGGATGATGAAGATGAGGTAGTTGGGTTTCTAGTGTCACTAGATGCTGTATTTTGATTGGTTGATGAAGGCTTAACTGAACTCCTTCCAAACTCATTCTTTAGCGAGTCATGAGAAGAAGGAGTCTTCAGATCTTCACTGGTCTCCTGTATCAAGGACACTCCTTCTGCACCCGTGGCCCCTGAGACTCTAGTGGAGGTCTCCCTCAAAATTGGTCTGCCAGCCCCTACAGAGGATGACACCCTGGTGAAGGGAGTCCTGCCCTCCTGCCTGGTGGATGACGTCCTCGTACCTGAGCCAAATCTTCCTGGATAGCGACTCGCTAGCCAAGGAAACCTTTCAGCAAATGAAGAGCTGATTCTGGTACGAGAAACTACAGGTTTTTCACTCGTGCTTTCATCTCGTCCCTCTTCCTTTCTAGTCTCCTCCTCTGCAGGTTGTCTTCTAGAGCCTAAAGCAGGCTCATCAGTTTTGGTTGCTTCTCTATCTGTGTTTTTGTAATCAGTGTCATCATTTCCCTCGCTGTATGATGTGTCTTGCTTTGGTGATACATGTGAACTCTGTGAATTATGTGTATCCTGTGAAGTTGCAGAGCTGTGAGATCCTCTTTGTGAAGTGGACTGAGAAAGACCTGATGTGTCTGCAGTGGACCGGGTGTTTGCACTGCCGTGTGGCATAGATGGATAGGCGCCCTGCAAAGCTGTCGAGCCACGAGTCCTGGACTCTGATGCAGACTGTGATTTGTCAAAATCATGTGAATCTGAGGTTGCCTGGCTGTTGGAGTTGCCTCCTGAAGTTGATCGAGATGTTGTTGGATTGAAAGTATTTGATGTTTCGTGGTTCTGAGTCCTGTCTGATGAAGCAGACTGTGATGTTGCTGAACTACGTGTGTTTGACGTTACCTGGTTCTGAGTTCTGCTCAGAGAGTTTGACTGTGAGGTGAGGGCAGGTTTGTAACCATTCAGCATTCTGGTGGAATTCCCTCTAAACACAGTTCCAGGATGTCTTCTGCCATATCCATATCTAGAGCCAAAACCAGACCCAATGGCACGCCCCGCTGAAGCAGAACCTCTGCCTATGGGGGAAGCATTTGTCTGCTGTGAACTGGTTTCTTTTACAGCTGCAGTAGAGGGTTTTGCATGTGCTGTGCTGGATTTATCGTAGATGTTTTTGGTCTCTGGGTACGTGGAGGCTACGTAGTCCTTCCTACTGGCTGCTGACTCTTGAATACGTGAGGAAGAAGATAATGAGGTTGTAGAAGGGGATGAAGAGGAAGAATCAGATGAAGATGATGACCCAGCAGAAGATGAAGAGGATGAAGAAGAAGAGGAAGAGGAATCAGTGGATGAGGAGGAAGGTGTATCCTTGGAGGATGCTTTCTGATGGACCCTGATCTTAATTGGCCGTCTGTTTGGTGGATTAGCACGAGGAGGTGCAGGTTTAGTTGGGGAAGGTGTCAGAACTTTGAGATTGGGGGTTTCAGTTGTCGGGGGCTCATCATCGTATTCAACATCATCCTCAGAGTCTGGGGAAACATCATTGTCGGGTTCTTTCGTCTCCTCTGGCATGACTTCTATAGTTGTTGTCGTTTCTGCTGGAGGGGGTGTTGTAGGTATTTGCTCTTCTTCTTCCTCCTCATCTTCTCTGTCTCTTCCTCTGGTTGAACCTCTGTTCACTGCATTCCTGACTGAGCCCCTGACAGAGGAGAAGATGCTGTGATAGGAGCGTGTCTGGGAAAGTGGACGAAGACGCCGGTTAACTGGGGCAGCAGGACGTCGTAGGGCCGGCGTGGTTGGGTCTTCCGGCGCCTCTGTGGACTGGAGGTCGGATTCTTCGTGGTCGGTGTCCTGTTCGGTGGGAGTGTGGCTGGTTCTTGGGCTCTCTTTGGTTTTTGAAAACGATGAGGCAGCACTGCTGGCTGGCAGGAGATAAAAAGGAAGACAGATTGAGGATTGTGATTTTCAATTCAAATCATTTCCATTCAGTTTTATTTGTATAGTGTCACAACAGAAGCCATCTTGTTGAACTCTCAATAATGTAGTATTGTAAAGTCTTGACCTTATTGTATTTATTCTAACATTCTAAGCTCACACACATAAACATATACTATATAGAGTCACATATACTTACATCCTGGCATGGCAACGCTGAAGGCCTTGCTCTGGGGTCCCTGTCCCCTCCTGTTGGTGGCTCTGATCTTGAAGATGTAACGGTCTCCAGGCGTGAGGCCATCTACGGTGGCTGTGGTGGTGCTGCCTCGGTACGTAGTGCTCTTCATTCCAAATGGCTTCATTGCAGGGGCATAAGACAAGATGTACTCTGTGAGGAAGTAGAAATAACTGGTGTGAGGACGAAGCAAAACAATTCAGAAGAAAATGTCAAGCAGTGGCCTCTGAATTCAGAAGTGTTTGTAGTACAAGGAAGTCTTGCCCTCATTGACCAGCATTCACACCAGCTTTGAGATTTAATACTTTGAAGGCATAAACAGAGAAAACAGGAAGTGTTGCTGTACGTTCAACTTTCTGGTGGTCCTTAAACTACTCATCTGTGATGTGCCATTGAATTTTAAAAAATAAAAAATAAAATGTAAGCTTAACGTTGAGATTTTTTATTTATTTTTTAATTAAAACCACATTATTCTTCATGATTCATTTAAAAATTCACCAAAAATAAAATGTTTATACTAAACAGTTTCTGTATAAAACAGAATCAGCTACACAAGAAAAGTTCTGGGACTTCTGAGCAGCACCGGGGTGAACTGGAGGCTGTCTTTACACAGAGCAGATACAACACAAGTCTGGAAACACGTAAGAAATGTAAGTAGTAAAATATCTAAAGTATGGACAAACCCCTTTTTTAAAAAAATGTGTATAAGATGATTCCAAGTTTCTTTCATTTTTGTGACGTAGACATCAAATAACTTTACTCTTTATTTTTTTTAAAATCCTTTTTGTGTGATTTATGTTATTATAATGTTGTCATACTGCATTAAAGACACTGTCAGGTTCTCTTTATTTCTAGTCGAGCTGTTTCCATCGAGGTGCAGGACTTTATATTGCAGTTTAAAAAAAGATCCCATTTATGTGATAGGAGCAAAACACCCAGACACTGGTTGTGATTTAGAGGGTAAGAAAATTCGTCCCTCTCAAACAGTAAAGTTCTGCTAGAAAGGTGGACACTAGTCAGCTTGACATTGTCAGCAAAGAATAAAATGAATACAACTTGAATTTGTTGTTTTTGGCAATGACAAACGTCAGAAAGCATTTACTGGTTTGTTAGCAAAAACTAATTTTGTTAAGTTAAACTTCCATCCTCCTCGCCTGACCTCTTATCCTCCCATTGGGTTCTTCAGGTGGATCCCATGTTGCTATGACAGCAGTTCCTTTTCCTCGTAGGGGCTTCACCTCAAAGTTCTCAGGTGGTCCGGATGGTGCTAAGCAAGAGAACGGAGTACAAGTGAATGGAAAGACAGCGGTGAAAAAAAAAACAGCAGGAAAGAAACCACAAGCAGCGTAAAGGAAGAGTGAGGAGACTGCTGCTTAAAGAATGTTAAAAATTTTTTTTTTAAAAGTGAGGACATTTGTGCCAGGAGGCTTCAACTGAGGTCCTGCCGCTATACATTGTGAGGAACCGCCCCTTGACATCATGTATGAAGCTGCAGATGGAGATCTGAACTGTGAGCCAGGCAGTAAATGCTGACATTCCACTAAGCCACAGCTTCAGAGCTGCTATGACACGGTTTAAAGGCTGCAATCATGACAGAGCTGCAGCCAAACTTAGAATCATATATCAAGTGGGAGTAATGGGAAGTGAATGTGATGAGGTGTGGCATGATGAAATAAGTAGAAAATAGCTAACACACAGGGTTATGCAAGAGTGAATACTTCAGTGTGAGAATAATTGCTCTTTTCATACTCTGTGCTCTCTATTAGTCTGTCTTCACTACTTCACTTGCAATCTGCGTCGGAGTCGACTATGAGATGTTCTGTAAACGATTCTCAGCAGGCAGTAACAGTACATACCTGACTCGGGAGTCCTCTGGAAGACCGAGACGCTCCACTTGCCATGTTTTTCATCCTGAGAGATTCTGACAGAGAACTCGTACATGCCGTCAGCAGACAGGGTGTCTATCATGAGCCTCCTCTGGCTGCTGTCCTTGTACTCCCAGCGGGCTGACTCGCCCTTCTCCCTGTACCTGACTGTGTAGGATCTGAGGTAAGAGCAAATGGAAATGTTTTATTCCAGGGAAGCACAGTGTTCTCTTTTACTCATTCTCTCTGTTCCTGTCTTGTTAACTTTAACAAGCCCACCTGGATGTCCCGGGGGCAACTTTTCCCATCTCGACGGCAGGGTCGACCCAGGAGATGAGGACGGAGCGGGCAGACATGACCCTGACACTGATGTCCTTCGCCTCATATTCAGGTGGCTCTTGACAAGACACACACACACACACAAAGACAAAAATGTCTAGGTCCAAACCAACACTAAAATCATCTTTACATCATTACATTTGGCTAAAGTTGAATTCTGGCAAACATGCATTTTACAGCTTACATGGATGTTAACGACTGTTTTGCAGTCTTTGTATTGCAAAAAAAGTTCTGTGATGATTCTGGATGAACCTGCAGGTACCTGGTTCGGTGGTTTTACTGGTGACTGCTCTGCTGGCGGGTGCACTCTGGCCCTGGGCCTTCTGTGCCTGCAGTGACACCACATGAACGGACTCAGATGCTATGAACAGAAAGGGATACCAGGCACGGCCAGGGTTTACACTATGGACACTAAAATAGTACAAACAAAATGCATCCACTTAGCTAAATTATCTCCAAGAAAACAACAAAAAAAAGCCAAACAAATAGGAAAGTAGGATCCAGAACGCTGGCAGCTGTTCTACTGCTGGTTTGTTTACGGTAATCATGCCACATTTTAAACAGTTTACTTATCATGTGCTATCTAGGAGCTACCCGTCTAAAGCCCAGAGGTTCTCTGACGGGTTTTTTTTTTTGCACATTTACATCTCTACCTCAGCATCATACTTTACTAAAACCTAAAGCTTTGCCCATGTGGTCTTGCAATTAGGAGTATGAGATGTAGATTGTCTTACTTAGTTTGTGTGTGTGCCGGTTCCTCTGGTCCGACTGAGGCTTGGTGTGGTGTTGCCGTCTCCTCTCCAGCAGTGGGGTTCCTGCCAAAGGCCTCTCAGGCTGCCTGGGACCTGAGGAGGACTGAGGTGCCCTCCTGTGTGTCCTGGTAGCGGAGACGCCTGATGGGCGAGCTGTTCGGTCCACCCTGGATGCCCGCTGTACAGTGGAGTGGTTTCTGGCTGCGGGTTGTGAAGGTCTGACTGGACCTGTTGGTGAAGGGTAGAAGTCAGAATGCACCTTTATGACCCTGTAGCTCATTCATAGTCTGTGCTCTTCTCTGGGGTTCCCTTTAGGGCCTCATTGAAACTCTCAGTACCCTTAAAAATGATCAAACGTAACCGTTCCACCCAAGACACATCCGCTCATTGATGAACACATAATTACATGTCAGGTTTATCCAGCAGTGATTGTAAACATGGCCGGTTATCACAGAGAGGAAATGCTGTGGAGTTGCACCACGTCCTCTGTCATCTGCTCCAAACTTCTGGTGTTCTGCTTCCAGCTTTAATCCGCTGCAAGTAGTCGCTCCATTTTGGACAACGTCTCAGACATTGTTTCAGACAGCCAGACAATCCCCCTCATCTGGCTGCAGTACTGAGCGGTACCGCTGCCAATATAACAACAACAACAACAAAAAAATCCTCCGTCCCGCCCACTCTTTTGTCTTCTCTCTTTCCTCTCCTCCCTCTTTCCCTCCGTTATTCATTCCTCATAATCACTGTCAGATGAAAAGGATCCGTCCTGTTTCCCATCAGTACAGCTGCATGCACAGCTGGGTGAGCGCTGATCAGTCAGCTGATGCAACCAGGTGAGTCTGATGGAGCTGATGACAGGAGTTATAAGGTTGAAACATGACTGTGATGCAGGGTTTCACCATCCTGTGAACAGGGAGGATGTGCCAACCTAGAATCTATATGAGGCAGAGCTTCCCTCTTTAGTTGTGGCTTAATAGAGGAGAACAGTAGAGTTTGAGTGCTAATGGAGCTCAGACTATATAATGAGCATGTTTCACTTCAACGTTTTTGTGTCTTTAATTCTGTATCTGCCGTCCGTCCTGCCAGCACAGCTGAATGAAATTCTTCCACTGGTGTCCAGAGAGCACTGTTTGTTTGGTAAGGCACCAACTCCCTTTCTGAATCCTCGTTTCCTAATCTTGTTTCTCAGCTTTTCCTGTTCTCACATATTTCCAGTAATGGAACTGCGCAAGTGAAATCAAAATTTACCGTATCGCGTTTCGTGTCTGTGGTTCGAGTCACATATTTGCTGACAAAGCCGATTACCGTGTTCTAACTTGACGTGTTCGTCCTTTCCTCTGGACTGTTGTTGATTTGTATTGATTTTAACGTGGCATGAAAGTTACATTTTAGAAATGTAAAACATGCAGTTATCACCTCTGAAAGCACAGACAAAGTACAACACAATACTTATTTATCTGATTAAGTTTCCTGTGCAGTGGCTAAAGCTGCATCTTTCTGAACCACAACATCCCAGATTTCATGTCTGTATCTCCACCAGCACTCTGTAATAAAGGAAAAGGGGAAAAAAACAATAAAAGGCTGTCTTAGTACTATCTTTTGTATTTTTGACCACTGGTGAAAGTTAACAGTTATGTGGCAGCTAACCAGTGAAGGACTCTCTGCCAATCCGGTTTCGTCCCTGCCTCTCATGCACACTTATTTGACAGCCTCTTGTACCACTTAAATCAGAAATAGCCCCATTTGGTTTTAATCAGTCAACTTTTCCCTTTTCCTTTCTTCTTCCTGTCTTTCGCTCTCTGGAAAACTGTCACAGTGCATACTTTGGCAGAGGTCACAATGCCACGGACCGCTAAGCCATGGAGCTGCCAGATCCCATCTTTTCCTGGAAGCTCAGCGGTCCGAGGTGCTATGAGGCTGTCCTACAGACATACAGACGAACCGCCGCTATAGCAGTGACCCGCCTCAGAATGTCACCGCTGTGTGTTCAACGCTCCTCAAAAACATACAGTAGCTGAAAAAAATCAAGGTTTATAACCACCGTCTTTGAATCTCCCCAACTCTGAAACAAGTCTAAACTCTGCAAGCATTAGGTCGGTCACATTAATATTAAATTTGGGTTTCATGGTGGAGTACGTTGCTCACTTTAATTTACACAAACAAACGTCTCAGTGGCAGAATTTTCCTCCAAGCAGAGATAATCAGTTTAGCCTCCTCTGGCAAGTTAGCCAACTGACAAACCCAAATGGCAAAGAAACACCTCCAGACATGCAGCAGCAGTGCCAGCGGGCCTGTCTTCGTTCATTAGCTTACCAGGCTATCACGTTGTAGCTACTGTGTACAGTAAATCAAATAATGTAAATATTAGCTGGGTGGATTAGTACGGCTCACATCTGATAGGATCTGACAGTTGGCAGCTAACGCGCTAGCTTCATTGAATCAAACCAAGTGTGTTCATAGAGTTCCAAACAACCTGAGTCGACTGAACGTGTGACAAAAATGTGACAAAAACAGTCGTAGTGCAAAAGCAAGACAAGATAGAAACTAAAATGGATTTGTAGAAAAATATAGAACAGTATATGGTCCTGTTCTTAGCTCATTAGCTTACCAGGCTATCGCTAGCTTATGATAATTGAGTGAGAAAAAACAACTTGAAATGCTAAGTGAGCTAATTAGCTATCAGGATGCTAGTGTTGGGTTGTATTTGTTAGTTGTCAGGAAGGGTGCTAGCTTTAGCTTCAGCTAGCGCTGATAGCTGAGGTATAAATGGCTGTGATTAATCTGCTACCAGTGGCAAGGACAATGTTTGAGACAAACATCATTACAGAGAAAAGACTCTGAGTGAATGTTTTTGCTGTTGTCATCCATTATCTTGCCAGACTGTCAGCTACAATAGTTTGGGGTAGGCTGGTGAATGTTAGCTCGTAACTACATTACTTTATCTGACTAACATGGTTTTAGTTGATAGCGAGTGAGCTGACCGGGGATTTGCTTCTCTTGTCCTGTCACTTTGACTGGGTTTTACTGTAGCATAGCGTTGCCAGAACCCCAGTGATTGTTTGGCTCCATTTGCCAAAGTGTAACTCAACAAACTTGATTAGCTGTGTCTCCAGAGCAGCTCCACCTCAAACAAATAAAAATGAAACTCCAGAGCAGCATGGCGGTTCAGTGGTTACCACTGCAAGAAGGTCCTGGGTTCAATTGCTGGTCCTGATCCCTTCAGTGGGGAATTTAAATGGGATTTCTCCACGATTCTTGCCATGATGCGAAGACGCGCCAAGTAAAGTGGTTTGGAGAGACTAAATTGTTCAGAGGAAAAGTATACGTCTCGCTGTAGCTCTGTGACAGACTTGTGAGTGTTTACATGACATATGTTCAAATGCACCATGACGCTGCACAAAAAGGAAACATCGTCTGAACCCTTTCATGCTCATTTAGTTTATAAATATCCCCAAATAATGAAAATCCCCAAAATCCAAAGGTATTAAATTAACAGTGACAAAAAACCTAAAAAAAATCTGCCGAAAATGTTGTCAGCTGTTGTCTGATCAATTAGCCAAATAATTGACCTGGTAATCATAAAGAGAGCTCAGATCAGCCGCTTTATGGATGATTTGGTAATCAGGTTTCAGGCAATCCATCCGTCTGCGGCTCATTTCCGATCATTTCACAGTCTATTGAAATCACTGACAGGCAAATATTTGACAATTTATGTGGCGTATACCGTTACAGGCAACACGCTCTAAAATACATGTTAAATCTGGATTCCCCTTAAGAAAAATACATAATTAGACGGGAATCTATGAGTCAGGAAGAGTGAGAGTTTTCCCCCAGCGATCCCTGTAGGACTGAAAAGTGAGGGAATGAAGGAAAAGGAGACGATCGCCTCAAGACACAACACTGCAAATCATCATCACATTAGATTTACGGCTTTCTTTGACATTTACGGTGTCGGCAGATAATCTCAGCGAGGATTTAACCACATTGCTTTACATATATGGCTGCTAACGGAGCTGCACCACTCCCATGTGAAGTCGGTGATGATGCCTTGAGATCAGGTTTACCTGCTGATGAGTTGCTGACAGGTGCACCGCCCAACACAGCAAAGCCATCCAGGTTAACCCATTCAGGGTCTAAAAAAGACACAGGACATCTGGATAAATGACGTTGTTTTTGGCAACTAGTCAGTAAGAAGTAAATTTTATACATTTAAAGCTCACATATTTCTGATTGACACGTTCATTTCTCTGCTTTCTGTTGAGCTTCTACATGTGTATGGGTTTCTTTTGCCTCCTTCCAGTGAACAAAGTGGGATTTGTTACTTCTTGTTTTCATTTCCTCTCCATCTCTCTCCTTCTTGCTTATAGTAGGTCAACTGTTTGTCTTCTTTGCTTGAACAGCGGCTGGCCAGACACATAATGATGTGGAGGCAAACACTATGTGTTATTTACGACGACTGATGCAGCTCTCATGCTGCTGAGGGAACAACACACGATCTGCGAGGAATTTCTGGAAAGGCAGCACTGAAGCTCAGCTCAGCTGCCAGAGATTTATGGCAAACTGCACCGGAGCTGGAGAGACCACAAGGGCCGCCGCAACTGGGCAGCGCACACAAACACGCATCCATCTGTGGCTGATGCCTGTTTCTGAACACACATGAACGCAGAGACACACAACACAAGACAATGCATGACTTCATCACTTGGCACCGCCCTGTCTTCGACCGCAACCACTACCAGACACATATATGTTGTGCGCGCACACACACACATACACACCCAACAAGTGACCACAACACAGAGGATTGGGTTATAGGAGCAGGGCTGGGTTTGGAAAAGGGTTGGCTGCAGACTTTGAGTCGCTGATGAAGTATGACTGTAAGGTGCCAAGGACGGAGGAAAATGGAGTAATGACAAAAGCAGGCTAGACTGTGTCAACACTGCAAACTGCATGTGTATAGAAGCATAAGGACCTGTCTAATGTTTTACAAGGCAGGATTAGAAATTACCAGAGAAGCTGTTAAGACCTAAAAATAATGTCCTTCTCTAAAGCCTAAAATAACCACTGTCTGCTGAACTGGGATGACGACTGCTGGTCACACACTCCACCGGCCCTCGTGCTCGCTCTTTATTTCTTTCTGGCAAACTCTGATGACAGCACATCCAGTTATGAACTAATCCACTGATAAAAATCAATTCCACACACACACACACACATGTGTGTGTGCTTACATCTCACCTCCCTGCCTCTCTGCTTCATAAACAGCTTTGCTCATCCACTCCTCATTCTTGGCGCTGGTCTTGAGAAAGTGCAGAACCCTGAGATTTGAAAGCTCACTCCATAGTTTGTAGCCAAACCTTCTTTTCTTGCTCTACGTCCATTTATTTTCCTTTGAATGGCTTTTTGTCGAGCAGCGCTACGAGTACTCTCAATCCCATTAGCTCCACTTTCATTTGCTGGTAGAACTCAAACAGAGTCAGTGACCCAGAACCACCTGGTCTGAACATCTCTCATCCTGCTCTCTGTGGACCTTGTTCAGTGTCTGTCTTACCTACATCCTCCAACAGAGGAGCGCGACTGTCTTTGCTCACTTTCGTGAAGCGGTTTGACCTCGTGGGTTTGCTGGAGCTGATGATGAAGCGGTCCACAGGTCTCCCATCCAGATGGATGGAAGGCTCCCAGCTCTCCCTCAGGCTCCTGTCCACAGATGTTTGTTTCCCGTTCTGCGGCCGTAGGGGTTTCTCTGCTGCAGAAGAAATGATGTCAGGATAAACTCGGGTTGTATAAAGTTTATTTAAACAATACTAATTTAGCGTTGTCCGTTATACTAAACATGAAGACCTACATATTGTGGCAGCATGTCAGTGTGATGTATAACCTCTGTAAGCTGTTGCTGCACCTCGACTTCAGCGCTACCAGGACAATTTCCTTTTTATTTATTATGCTTGGCACTTAAAGTAACTCTGATGAAGCATAAACTTATGTAGGAGGCCCTGAAGAATCCAAACTAATTTGACGTTTAAATAAATAAATGACGATTGCTTTGGATGTTAAAGACTCACATAATGAGAAATCTTTATTCCCCCTACTGGCTGCACTCACTAAAAACATAAACAGAATCGTTGCTGCCTCTCCAGTTTGGATAGCAGATGCCTCCGATATAAAACCGTGAATTTAGCATATGTGCAGGAAAAAGCTGCTAAAAGACCCCAGAGAAGACTGAAGACATGGGAAATGGTAAACAACCGCTGGAACTGTTCAACTATCTGGATTCATTATGCACAAACTAATGGTCTCGCGCCTGAGAGCTTGCATGGATGCTGAAAACTCAGCTGAGTCAACAAATAAGAGGCACTCATTAGGCATGATGCAGAGGAAAACCAGAAGGAAAAGCCCTTGATGCTTGTTCCTTTTAAAGTTACTCGTCAGGGGGTTGTTGGGTAACAATTATATGGTAAAAAAATAAAGAAAAGAAAAGAAATCCATGCAGACAGCTCCATCAACTTCTCTTATTTGTGACAGTGTTTGGATCATACGTGATCGTTCATAGAGGAGAAATCACACTTATTCAGATTGTTAACTTATTACACTTCTGACAGCACTTTTTAAACGCTTCTGAAAAATGAATTTACAGCTGTTACACCTGCAGGTGTTGGTGCTTTCTGACCACTAGGGGGCAGCGCACCACTGACAAATTATCATCTTGCAAAGTTTATTCAGCAGTGTGTTAACAAACAGCTTCTTATTAGCACATGCGGCGCGTACTTTAACTTTCGGAGTCATGTTTTTTTTCCCCTCCCCACCACATGATTAACGTATGTGCAGTAATCTACGTCTGGTCTGGTTTGCATCAGGGGACGTTCTAGCTCTGAATGTTCCACTATGTCTCACCAGCTAGTCGCTAACTCTATCTGTCTGCCATTTGATTCGGGGCAGGTGGCGCGCATTGGGGTTTTTCAGAGTGAAATCAGCTGCCTGTTGCTGCTGCTGCTGCTGGAAAGTAGGACGATGAGAGCAGTGAGAGTGAACCCGAACAGATGCCAGAACACTAGAAAGTGCTGAGAGGAACTGTGGAGTCTAGAGATGTTCGTTTAAAGATGCATCATCATTTAAACCACTGAAAATACAGAAGCTTCGCTTGAACATAACCAGGGCGAGGTTTATTAGCGTGCTGCTCATTTACTGCTGTATAATTGTCAGGTGGTCCCCTCGACGGGCCCCCCAAAGGTTTACAGCAGCACTTTTGGTTTTAGCATCGCCACATAATCTCTTCTTCTTGCCGTTTGCAGGTGTGCTCCCAGCTGGATCTGCACTTTTACTTCTCGCATTGAGACAAAAACTGCCACTCAGGCCTCCTGAGCGCTACTTTGCAGATGGTCACGGCTCCTCAGAGGCCCTCAAAGTTGTCTCCGCTTCACTCGGAGTTTTAGTACGTGCTGAAAGATTGTCTCATCATTGCTGCAGCCGACTGTCGATATCACCACTCCAGCCGTGTGTGAGTACATAAAGGAGTGTGAGAGTGTTTTCCCAGTTAAAAAAGAAAACACAGCCTCCTCATTATTTCCTCATTAATGCAGGCGTACGGCGGAGTTAGTTTTATCAGCTGCCTGTGGCGGTCTCCACTGACACAAGTCTGGACGCACTTCAGTCACTTGCACCCTGTTTCCAATGAGGCCATGTATTACGTAGGAAGGGATCTGCTCCTCCGTCCAGACATCATTCTGTGATTTGGCCTCCCTGGAAATTTATGATTCAAGGGCAAACCAGATATTTCTGATTAAATCAAGACTCCTTCAAGCACAGCAGATGCATGATTTCCATCCAAGAATAAACAGTTTGGGAAGCAGTTAAGCAACTGAGTGGTTGTAACAACATAATCGTACAAAGGGAGGCTTGGTTTCAGGGCGTTGCTACGGGAGACCGGAGCAATAATATAACGTTTTCTATGTTGTGTTTGTGAAATGGAAAGACAGACAGATAGAGTATGATTGAGTTAGATAGTGGAAAGTATTAAGTATGAAAGGAATGAGGGAAGGGCCTCCGGGTCATTATGTCACTGCTTTCCTTTTTTCTTTTGTGTTGTTTGATAAAACGTTCATGTGCGTGTAGAAGAGACTGATAGTGTGTGTTAGATGGATGCAGGATGTGCGGCACACATGCACGCTCAAAGCCTCACAGACAGGTTGGCAGACGTACACATGTATGTGCATGTGTAGTTTGGTATAAGAAGCATGTGCAGGTAAGCCCTGAGGTCAGAGGACGACTGTAAAACTGTTTGAGAAAATACTTGCGCTCATGCACCTGCAATGCACTCCACTTTTACAAGAACACCTTTTCACCTCGCCGTGACATCACAGACAGCGACCCCTCATTCACCCCTAATGAGTTTACCATTAACTGTTAATAACCGTCTTTTGCACAAACTCCCATCAGCGATCAGGATCGGCGGTGGAGTGATGACGAGGCGCCCATTACACACACAGATGGACCACACTCTGATTTTTTCAGAGAGATGATCAAAGTCATAAATAGCTGCAGGTGTTTAGATAGTAAAATAACTGACTGCCATGGCAACAACACAGGAACGCTCTCACTGAAGTGTCTTTGCTCTGGTGGCTGTAGGAACCAGATCCAACCAATGTGGAAGTTTCCACTTTGCTATTTTGGAGATTTTTTTATTTTTTCCATCACTGCACCGCAAGTTTAAAGATCTCCGTTTAGTGTTTCTCTTCTTGACGTTGGAATATGATCCTCTGACTGTCCTGAATATAGTCAAAACTAAAAACACGACAGCAAACAAATCTGAGCTTCAGCGTGATTGGTCAGATTGAACTAATTGTTAAGTTTCAGGAGATCAGTTTACCCGAATGACTGAACAAAAAATACCAGCAATGAGTCATGCAGAGGTTTTGGCTGTGTTTGCTTAGGTTTTGGACTATCTGTCTCTGACGTTTCGAATGGCACAAAAATTCATTTAATAAACAGAAAATTTGCATTTTAAAACGCTCCAGTTGCCGTGGATAATGGACGGAGCACGCTGTCAACAGTTTAGGTTGAGACTACTTTCTGTTGATGTTGTGTTTTGTGTCTGATCCAGAATAAGCAGCACAAACAGTCCAACACTGATTCCTGAAAGGTGCAGATTCAATGAGTGTAAATGGAAGTTTTGCCCTCATTGTTCTGGAGGCATAAACACAATACGTCTTGAATCTGGAGGGAAACTTTGTAAACTGGGTCAACGCAGCCTTCAAAAGTTTGGCAGGATTCTTATCTGCAAAATGCAACCAGAAGATGGTTCAACTTAGCTTAGCTTAAAAACTGGAAACCCATTTTAAAAGTATGTAATTTTAATTTAGAGTACATCTTGCTTTGGAGGGGCTGCTCATCCGGACAGAGCAGGCTAGCTACTGCACCGCTATTTTCTCATTTAGCTTTTTGCAATTGTTTCCCAAAACATCCCACTATTACTTACAAAGATCAGACTTTGGGCCTTTGTTGGATTTAAGAAGGTAAACAGAACTTCTACGTTTTAAAAGCTGTTTTGTTTCCCACACAGATCCAGCTAAGTGGGAGGTTTGCGTCAAACCTCGCCCGGGGCTGCAGGATTCCTCGTAGCACCTCGGCCACTTTAAACGTCGCTCACCTCTGACACTCAGTAAAGTCTCTCCAGTAGAAAGCCAACTCACGTAGATCATGGCCAGACACGGTCGTTGCCTTCAGACCGCCGTTAATCACAAAAACACATCAATCACCAGACTGTCAGCCTCGATGCCGTCAGCTCAGAATCGGGCGCTGAGCCTTTTTTTTAGCATCAAAATGTGACTGAGAACAAATTTTATTTCAAGCAACAACCTGAAGTGAGTAAGTGTTTGACTTGGGTGTGCTACATGCATACATATGAGACTTTTATGACTCGTGACATCTACAAACAGAAGCTGGCCAGCGCTACTACGGTCTGAAAACACACTTTGTGTTTCAGTGTTGGTGGCCACGAGTCAGCCTCCAGTGACTGATATTCCCTCGCTGATGAAGACGGACACCTCCCAGTGTTAGTTTATGCTACACCTTCCCTTCTTATGCCGTGACAGGTGCGCTCATCGCCCAGGTGGGACTTGTTTGAATAACTGGAACGACGCCCAGAGATGACATCATGACACAGTTTGACAGGCAGCCAGGTGGGTGGAGGGGGGGGTGGGGGAATCGAACCCTGTCAGATGATTGAATATATCTAATATTGCGGAAAGTATTACCCCTGACACTCTGTGTTGCCCCAGCGGAAAAAGAAATGAATTTATGACATTCCTCATTCTCAAAACTTTTGCTGAAATGTGCAGAATCCCAACATGGTAAGTGGGCCAGAGAAATAAAATTCCACTGGCCTGCAAGGACACGATTCCCTCCCTGCCCCACTTATTCTCCACACACTTTCCAGGAAATGATAGACCGTGGCTGCGTGGAAGAAGTTGACATTCCTTATTATCCAAATGTTTCTACTCTCTCAATTTGTGCAGAATTTCCCAGGAGCCCAGTTTTATCCACACAGAGGTTTTTTTTTCAGGGGAAGGGTGACAAGCTGATGACATGTGAGTGGAGAAAGTTAATGAATAACACGCTCTTCTCCCTCAACAACTACTGTCAAAATACCAGAGAGGAAGGCATTTAGCTGCTCTCGCTCAGTGGCCCACAGCAGTGAACTGCTGGTCGGGCTGAGTAGCTCCCAGGTGTGAACGTATGGAAGTGGATGAATGTGGAGCAGAAAAAAGATGCACGATGGAAAAGAAAGTGACCACAACAAATAGCAGCTGCCTACATTCAGCGAAAGCAATGCTCTCACACACTAAGTGCTCACAGTCCAGGCATATAGAGACTTACATATCAGCTGACACACTAAGTGGAGTGAATGCATTTTAAAAGGGAGTAAAAAGGGAAAGTCTGGTTGTGGCATTTAAAGGCAGCCAAAAGCACTGGCTTCCTTCCCTCCTCCAGAACTCCTCCGGCTTTATGGCACTTTTGATATTTTGGATATTTTTTACTGTCTGGAAGATGTGCAGCTCTCTGCCTGAAAATTGATTTTACAAACGGCACTTGAGAAACTTCAAAAACATGTGTGCTGCTGTGGTTCTGAAGCCTCTTCAGAACCACAGCCGCTTGTCCAAAAAAAAAGTGCTGCTCATTTGATAAATCGCTGCACTGACATGGAATATCTTCTGGTGAAATCATGTCTGTCTTTGCATCACCAAAAACTCTCCATACTCTTCTTTTTTGCTTGGTTTTGCTGTCAGGCGTATTCCAGCCTCTCCCTGCCTGCAGCTGATGGATGGTGTGACATGTCAGAGGATGCAGTAGATCAGCTTAAGCCCAAAACACAAGTGACAGACTGAGAACTTGAAGGCAGGTCATTTATCACCACGTTCAGCCAGATTAGTCACCAGTTTGGCGTGAAACCACTCAGAAAAATCCTATTTTTGCCTAAAATTTCATCATGTAGCCTCAGATTTGTCATCTCCTTCTAAACAATGCTTCACAGTTACTTCAGGACGTGTCCACTGTGTGAGACGAGGATTTGCTTCACGACAGTCCTGCATCATATTTTCCTCTCATAAACAAGCTGCTGTCCTTATATCACTCAAACTAACTGCTTCACATCTGCTCAACAAAACAAACACTACAATTAATACTGTGATGAGCCATTAATAAATGTAAATGATGTGTTGGCTGCATATAGGTGGATGTGCACATGTGCAAATGCCTGAAAGCAGATAACTTCTTTTACAGATAACACAACTGAGATTTCTTTTGAATGCATCACAACCTGTAGCAGTAAGAACTCATAACTCTGACAGACACACAGGATGAGCAGAAAGCATCAGTAACTCCAGAAAACTGCTAACCAGCTGCTTAACGCATTAGTGCAAAGAAAAAAACAAAAAAAAAAACAAAAACGTGCACCTGCTCAGGAGAAAGTGAGTAAACGTTTACCTGCCCATCCGCATCCCGGTGCGCAAAACGTGACGAATAGCGCCAAGAGCGTCCTGCTTGCGGCTAAAGCCATAGTGAATGTGGCGCAGTGGTGGTGCGGAGCGACGCAGCAGCTGGATGCAGAGGGCTGGGACACAGCAGCCTTCCCTCCCCTCTGCCGATGCTGCTCCTCACTGTCAGCAGAAACACAACCTGACTCACAGCAAACTTACATCCATTTGATTGTGATTTGCAAAAAAAGGGAATTCAAGTTGCTTGCTCAGATCTTTAAAAATAAAAAAAAGTTTTGAGGTGAGCTGAAACAAATAACTGAGCTGTGGAGCAGAGAGGTGTCTGTCTGCATGAGGGCTTATGGATTCATGTGCTTCAGTTGTTCTCAATTCAACAACAAAAAAGCCTCATGTGCTCTCAGCTCTTCAGATGTGCTGCAGGGTGTTGTTCATTTTTTTGTGATAAAATAATGAAATAAAAAGTGACCAAATGTCTCCCTCTTCAGGGAACGACCCTCACTTCACCCTGAGCTGAGCTTCTGGCAGCAGCTGTGATCAACCTGCAGGACGATGGGCGCCACATGAACCCAGACGCTCTGAGCACTCTGTTTTAATGCTCTATGAGTTTATAGCTCATTTTTATGACTGTAAATTATAATCTATTCCTTCCTAAACTGTCTAATTTCTACTTCACGTCTGCTCAGCAGGTCAGTCCCACCTGTTCTCTGTTCCAGTCTGACTTTAGCACATTCAATCCACCTTGGGATCAAACCTTTCCATGACACCATCCCTGCAGCAGGTGTGAGAGAACAGGAGTTTGGGCCAAGCAGGACTCCAACACATGAGCTAATCCGTGGAGAGAAAGTTCAAGATTACACCAATTTTCCAAAGAATTCATTCAACCACTAGATGGAGCAACACGCCACATCTTCAGTAACATGTAGGCTGCTGTGTGCAGCAAACCAAGCTGAAGGTTTCAGGAGATGAGCAACAAAGTTTAAATGACTTAAACTATTAATACCATATGCTTTGTATTGTCTGTTATTCTGAACAGCATTTCTGTGCTTTTTGACTGATCTTGTCCTCAGGTGAGACAAACAACAACCCACACTGTGAACATGATAAACAGGACGTCTTATAAACACACATGCTGGTGACAGAACACAGATTCATCTCCATTAGTCTCTGTTATTATTCTGTAAAGCTGGAGAGCTCAGACTTACTCCTGATTTCTTTTCCCGTGGTGGCGTTCCCGTTAAGTCTGACAGTCGTACGCCTCTGAGGAAGCCTCTGCAGCACTTTTTTCTCGTTTGACAGCTCTTCAGATTTCCAAGAGCTCCTCTGAGTTTTCCTGAAGAACATTTTGACCTTTTTTTGTCAAAACACCAAATGTCCTACAACACCTGCAGCCGTCTGAAAGATGCACAATTATCCAAATGCACAGCTGCTTCATCGTCTATTCCTGAGCTAATCCTGCCATTATTATGCAAAGATCTGCAGGTGTTATCCATCTGTACGGGTCCCACAGGTACAGAAGAATGTCTGTATTCACTTTGCCTGTAAGTGGTTTAACTCCTGACCAACATCTCCCTCTGTTGGCTGAAGTCCTGATCTGTAGCGGAGAACTGTTTCAGTGATCACTTGCTCATGACTCAGTCCATGAATGAACTCGTACTTGGAGGATGTGACGAATTACAGGTGAAACACAGAAAGACCAGGTTTTCAACACATACTGAAGAGAAGAAGTGACACAAGAATTCCCCTGAGAAAGATCATCCTGACATTATTATTGATTCTTCATTATGATAAGAACAGAACTCATCTACTGCAGCCTGCAGCAGAACATTTACATCGACTTTTGTGTTTTTACAGTGAGAAAAAAAATCTGGGCTGCACGGTGGCTCAGGGGTTAGCACCGTTAATGCCTCACAGCTAGAAGGTCGCTGGTTGGCGTCCCGGTGAGGACACCCAGGATCTTCCTGCGTGGAGTCTCCATGTTCTCCCCGTGCAGCGTGGGTTCTCTCCGGGTTCTCCGGCTTCCTCCCACAGTCCAGAAACATGCTGAGGTTAATTGGTGATTGTAAATTGTCCGTAGGTGTGAATGTGAGTGTGCTTGGTTGTCTGTCTCTAAGTGTAGCCCTGTGATAGACTGGTTACCTGTCCAGGTGAACCTGCCTTCACCCTGACTCAGCTGGGATAGGCTCCGCCCCCCATGACCCTGGTGAGGATTAAGGTGTAGAGATGATGGATGGATGGAAAAAAAAAATCTAAACACTTCCCACTTATGACCTTTATGTCTCCAGGGGTCAATAAATAGTTTGTCGATTTTGATACATGTGTTATTAAACCGTTGGTAAATTCCTTTTTATTGGGGCTGATTAGATCTCTGCAATAGCCTCCTGCCCCGTGGACACACAAACACACACACACACACACACACACACACACACACACCTACACATACACCTACACACACACACACACACACTTAGACACAGTACTGCAGCATCTCGAAGTAGTGCATGAGTCAGCACAAAACTTAATACATTTTTAAAACAAAAAAACCCTGATGGAAGCAGATGGCTGTCTCTAACCTGGCCTCTCTGCAACCCAGCATCAGTGCACAGCCTCCGTCACTCATCCAGCCAGAGAGGACGGGCCGGACTGCTCCTCAGGTGGCCTCTTCAGCGTCCACAGTACAAGGTGTGCTGCCTTGTTAGACACACGCCGGAGGATTTTTAGGCCGAGTCCTGAATATTCCCCCAGGTGGAGCGAAAGGATGCTTGTCTCTGCTGATGTACTGCATCAAGAGAGACTGACTGTCCATCATCATCCATCCAGTCAGTTTATTATCCTGGATAATAGATGGAGCTCTGTGTCAGCTCTGCGTCAGTCCATCACATGAATAAAACAGAGACAGACAACCAGACACATTTACATTTATGGGCGATTTAGAATCAGAATTAGCCTCAGCATGTCTGTGGAGTGACAGGAAGCCAGAGCACGGCGGTGACAACCTCCAAACATGAAGGCCCCAGATGAACCAGGAGCCTTCGGTTACCATCCTGTTGTAATTTTGTCATGTATGTTACACTAGATAAAGGCTCGATCAACATTTAACCACGTTTTATTTGCTTTCCTTTACCGTATGGACCAACAGGATGGCTCGTCCGGCGGCGCTTGTCCTTCGGGTCTCTGCTGCTCTCCCGTACAGAGATGATGAATCGCTGAGCCGGCCCTCTCAGTCTGCCACTGTTTTGTATTTTCCTCAATTTTCTGGGAGAGCTGAAGGGGAAAAACTTTTAATTAGCCGTCCCAGACAGTTGCCTAAAATAGGGCGGCTCGGTAAACAGTAACACTGAGCCGGAGGGGGAATCTGCTGCTAGATGCTCTTTTAGAGTAACTTCTACTTGTAATTTTAACCAATTTAAGCTCAGTGTGGTGTAACGGTTCTGTCACAGCACAAGACACTCTCACACAGAACATAATGGTCTGGAAGCCTTTCTGAGCAGGTGATTCAACCCCGATCTGACAGTCGGTGTCCGTATGTTATCAGACCTGCAGGGAGCTGTGCTGAGGGCCTGACACGACAAACATCCTCTCTGGGATGTCGAGGACCAGAAACATCACAGCGTTGTCCTACACTTTCTGCTATCAGCACAACTCTGGCACTCCTGGAAGCAGTGGGACTTCTGAAGAACCTCATGGCACAGTTAGATGTTTTTTTATTTGCTGTGAGTTAAATCCAGCAGCCAAGCACATTTCCTTAATAGTTTTTGGTTAGAAATATACGTTACATGTTAAAGCAATGTTCAGCCTGATATTGTCAAACTTCTCTGTCAAAAACTCCCAAATATTGAAGCTAACGTTCTCATGAAGGCGTGCAGTCGTCCTCAGATGTGTTCAGAGCCTCCCATTAAAGAAGGAAAGAAACAGCGGAAATACGAAACTGATAAAAGTAATAATAAATAAAAATTTAATGAAAACCAGGGCGTTTTTTTAAAATTGTGGTTCAGCAGAAATATTTTTAAAAGACAAACAAACAAAAAAAACAAAAACACCAACAACCAGCCTGATGGGACCCGTAAACAAACATCTAGTTGAACAACCCTCTGAGCCAATCAGGTGTTTCCTGTAACTCTCAGTCAGACTTCTCACCTGTTGACAGGTGTTCTGATTTCACTGTTCATCAACAAAAGGCCTCTCATTGGTCCACGACAGTTTTGTTTGTTTGTTTGTTTTTTTTATTTTAAATGATTCTTTTCAACCACAGTTCAAAAGCAACATCTTATTTCACTAAATTATAATTTAGTAAATTTTTATTTATTATTACTTTTTTCAGTTTCTAGTTATTTGAGTTGTGACTTTTGCCTTTTCTTTAATGGACGGGATGAATACATTTGAGGACGACTGTACACATCTACAGTGGTGATATTTTATGGGGTTTTTTCCACATTTAGTGAATCAGTTAATTATCAGTTTCCCAAAACAGGCTCCAGGTATGTGGATCTGGACTTCTGTCTCAGCGCCCACCAGCTGGTCTTCTCTCATAATAAGTAGATGGACTGTAGGTCAGCCACCAGGTGAGAGATGTTTTCCTTTGTTTGGAGTGACCTTCATTTCATCTCAGCAGACCAGAGAGAGGAAATGCTGCTCAAAAGCCAGAAAAGGACTAAGTCTGCCTAACCCCTGACATTTACCATACCCACAACCCGATTAAAAACATACTGAGTTGCTTGGCAACTGTGTTGTGCCTTGTCTTAAAAAAGATATGATTTAGAGCCACAGATTTAGGACAGAATATGTTCAGGGTGGATAATACTGGTGATACCAAAGGAGAGGAGACAGAGCAACGTACTGGCAGGTTTAGTCAGTTTCCTGTTTTTTGTTGCTGTTTTTTTAATGTTTCAGCCTTTAACAGTTTAATTTCAGTGAATATAGACTCCTGTATGTGGGAATCATGGAGACATAAGACAGTGAGAATAAAGAAAATCAATCCCAGTGGATTCCTGGCTGGGAGATTTTTAAGATCTGTAAAAGAAAAAAAGAAGAAGAAGAAGAAAGAGGCAGTGAATTTCCTCCAGATCCCACGGCTGGACTGATCTCCCACAATCAGAGCCTCCACCATCCATCCCCTCGCTGGAGCTGAAGCCCACCCCCGCCCTTCCTGCGCAACCAGCAGAGTAAAAAACCAGGAGCCAGCTCGGAGATGAGCCCCAGCAGCCACGGAGCACGGAGCTGGAGAGGATGCTTGTTAACTGGAGCCTGTGACTCGTTCTGATTCCGTTTCTCGTAACTAAGACATTTTGAAAGTGTTCATGCTGCCCGTATGGAACACGATCCTGGGCTCCAGCGAATCCAGACGCGAGGAGAGGCTCACCTAAACATCACCAAGCACAGATTGCACCAAACCGCTTCAACTTTGATCCGTGTGGAGTAACAGTACTCCCCCGAGCCCAGTGGACTAATGATGGCCCTAATGGTTCACCTGAAGACGGTCGCTCACCTCCGGGGGAGAGCTGACAGGATCGCCAAAGTTACCTTCAGAGGTAGGACGGCTTTACCTGCAGGACTTCTGTGTGTGTGTGTGTGTGTGTGTGTGTGTGTGTGTGTGTGTGTGTGTGTGTGTGTGTGTAGAAACTGGATCGCGCTGCGGGGTGCGCCCCAGTTTTATTACAGTGTGACGAGAAATAATCAGACGTCCGACCTGCGAGTTGTGGGAAAACCCTGTTGGTGAGTCAGTGGTCACCAAAGACGCGCTGCGCTCTCACGTCCAAACAGGAAAAGTGTTCTTCAAATAATCTGAACAATCACTGTGTTCAAGATTTAAACGGATGATGTCAGACATGAAGAATAAGACCTAAAACTATTTTGCATGTGCACTCTGGACATTTATATGAAATTGTGATTACATGGTTGAAAACTTTATGACATCATGTTAAGTATCCAAGAAACATGTGATGTCAAAACACAGATGTTATGTTCAGTCTTTTCCAGCTGTCAGGACTCAGATTCCTCTTCCTAAGTATTGTTTTTTCAAATATAACAGATCAGCCATCGATCCAACCTCAAAAATAGGAAAGAAACCGAGTTGTTCTCTGAGCATCCAGTGACTTCACACTGATTTCTCACTACAGTTTTGAACTTGTGTTGACTTACTTTTAAAGCAAACAGGACAAAAGGCCAGTGTTGACTAAGCTGAAGGCATCCACTGCTAAAGAGGGTGTTGGAGGTGGGGGTGTTGGGACATTTTCTCCTCATATCTTCCAACTAATGACCAACCGGCTGAGTGCAGCTCCTCCAGGATCATAATCACAGCCTCCGACCGTGTCTCAGGGGAAGCGACAGAAAGCCCAGTTGGGGATGCTTGGGTGGATTCATTCACTGAGCCTCTTTGTGCTGGTGTGTGAGAGAAGCCGAGGCAGGAAGGGAGGAGAGGTGAGTGTGTGTTTCAGCACCTTGGACAGCGATGAGTCCTCTCTGACAGGTGTTCGGTCTCAGCTGATCTCTGATCTGGACTCCTGCTGTCACCATCACGACGAGGAGGATGTAACAGACCACCACCACCACCACCCTCCTTCCTCCCTCTCTCTGCTCTGTGTGTGTGTGTGTGTGTGTGTAGAAAAGGATGGCTTTCAGTGTTTGCTCTGTGCTGCAGTGAATTCAGCAGGGTCCTGATATTATATGAAGCGTGTCATCCGAGTCAGGGATTAGATCTTCTGCTCTCTCACTCCACGGTTCAGCCGTCACACAGTGGCTGCAGTTCATGTGGTTGTAATTTCAAAGAGCCAGAGCAGCGTTGTTTCTGTGTGTGTGTGTGTGTGTGTGTGTGTGTGTGTGTGTGTGTGTGTGTAGTTGTATCACTGGTGTTGTGGGAACCTACATCACAGAGTCGCTTTGTTAAGAGCCGCCTCCGTTCTGAGAACATAAAACAAGCCCACGTGATGTAAATAATGAACTCTCAGGCTGAGGACTTGCTTTAAGATTTAGTTTAGGGAAAAAGTAAATGAATGAGTCAGTGAAATATCCCTTGAAGTGGAAACATCTGATTCAGTAAAACCTGCTTCTGTTCAGATGTTCACCGATTTTCACTGACGTCACATTTTATTATAATAGTTTCCTATTTGAAGGAACGCAGAAGCTCAACACCATCTTCCTTGTAGCTGCAGGACAGATGATGCACGCCAACACATTGAAAGTTTGCAACAGCACCAAACAGGAGTTCCCATAAAAGATATTTAAATACAGTCGTGACTCGATAATCCGACACTAAATGTAAAACCTTCTGTTATGTCGGATATCAAGGCTGTCGGATTGTCAAGACGGAGGTCCAGATACGAGATACGATAGCAGGTTTAGGATTGTTAAGGGTCGATTATGGAGTCACGGCTGTATCATTAAACACGGGTTCCTCATGCACCTTACTGCAAAATGCAACTAAATCAGCTTGAGAACAGCCAACAGGGTGCTGGAGGACAATGCCTCATTCACAGCATTTTATTGCACAAACAAACATCTCAACACTGCTGTGCATTCAACTTAAACCGGATGTACAGTTGTCACTGGATAACTGGCTAAATGGGGAATTCAATGTGTCTCGGACATAGTGTTGGAGGTGTGGCACAGACTGTAGTCACTCTCATTTGAAAGCCCCGTTCAATTATCCAGTGGCAGTTGTACACCTTTGTTTGTGTTGAATGCAGCCTCAGGTCTTTGTTTGCACTTTGCCTCTAATGAAGACACAGCAGTGATGAATTAAGCCGTGTGCTCCAGCCCCTTTGTTGTACTCCAGACTTTTAAATACCTTTTACATGCAATACGGTGTTACACTGCATTCTGCTACCCATCAGTCTGTGACCTCAACAGGAATTTCACAAGGGACAGATGCTCTTAACCAAAAGCTTGTGCCCCCTATTTATTTACATATTTATTTGTGTTTGCCGTTGACTCTGCTCCAGTGATGCTCTGGAACAACCTGAGCAAGCCTGACACACACAAACCCTCCGGCAGAGTTTGAGATTCTCAACGTTTAAATGAATACCGCATTGTACAAAATCCAGTTTACATAGTTTTAGGGTACAATTAAAAAGCATCTGTGTTGTACGGTCCCACAAAATATGACAGAGTGTCTCTGAATGAGCAGCTCAGGTTTGCAGCTTGATGAGACGTCACACCAGGATGCTCCCAGCTGGCTCCTCGTCCTCCTCCTCTCCGCCACCGACCGATGCAGAGAGGTGTGCTGCAGCCCTCTTTGTAAAACTGTTAGAGTCGTGATATTGAACGTTTAAAAGAGGAGGAGGAGGGAGGGATCATGTGGAGGCTGGTGTAGCGGGGATGTGGTGAGCGTGTAGCGGGCTGAGTGAATGATAAGCACGCTAAGTGGGTGGGCTGGATGTAAGTAGTAAACGATTGGACAGAGATGGGCCTTGTGACTCTGTACCTGTCTGAAGTAACGCAAAGCCCCAACATGATTGCTTATCTGCACCAAATCCCATAAATCTACCTCCCACCCTTTTGAAGGTAAACAGCATTTTAAAAACAGGGACCTCTGACCCCGAGCGGCGCCATGTTTGCACTGATTCATCATTCTGAGGAGACGCCATTCCTAGCTCACCTGTAAAAGACCAACTTGTTCGACCTGAGCGCTCGAGCTAGAGACTGTTTGCAGACACAAACACACACACACAGATGGGGCAGAGTGCTCTATCAGGGGCAACTATGGAGTAATCTTGTCGGGGGCAACTATCAGTGGCTGTAATATTCTATAGCAGCATTGAATTAAGGTCTTGAGAACAGCTGATATTTCAACACAACCACAAAGACTTTTCTTCCCCAGCCTGACTTAGAAGAAGTGAACAGAGTTTAATTATTGATGTCATTACCTGCCAGTATGTTGCTACAGAGGTGAGGGCCACACCAGCAGGGGGCGCTGGAGCTGCACATATATGTGACGTCACTCTGGTGGGCGGAGACAGCGGACTCGAACCAGGAAGTTGTACAGCAGGTAACATGCACTGAGGAAACAGGACTTGAATTAGATTTTGTGTTGTTTGGAGGAGAGACTTCTGGACGCCCAGATGAGACAGAGTGTGTGGAGACTGGGAGCGAGGACTTTTGGAGCTGGAGCCGGATTTAGAGCCGGGACGACCAAAGTTTTTTGATGTAGATTTGAAGGTTTGAAACTGAAGACGCCAAAACAGATCAAAAATTCTTGATGACTTACATCGCTTGGTATTTGGACTTGACTTCAAGAAGCTCTTACTGAGTTCTAAGGTCGCCTGAAGAGGATGAAAAGGATTTCCCTGAGTAACGGCGCTGCGTCTGACTCCTCAGATTCGGGACACGTGATCGTTAACTTCTGCCAGACTGGCTCGCTTTGGTTTCATCGCTGCGATCCTACTTTAAAAACACATCGGCATTCAGAAGGCAAGAACAAATCTCCAAACTCTGAAGAGGAGGTGAACGGCAGCGATGATCTGTAGAGGCTGGTGTAGCAGCGATGTGGTGAGCAGCAGAATGAATGAGTGAATGAATGAACGCTGCTTCGGTTGTAAAGCACACAAAGTGGGAGGGACGGACTTCAGTAGTGAGCGATTGGACAGAAAGGACCCTGTGACGCCCAGACTCTGTGCCTGTCTGAATTAAAGCTCCATGAGGTGCACTGTCTAGTAGCTCAGTAGTTGTGATCCTACAAACATGACCCCTCCTGTTACCTTCACATTTACTGACATATTTCATCCTTGCAGCAATTTAAACTCCCAGAAAATCTCATAATTAAAATGGTGACCCAAGTTTAACTATAAGCAGCCCTTTAAATAAAACTGAAAAATGATGTCCACGACTTATTCATTTATGTTAAACATTGAATGGGACCAAATTGACCTCAAAGATAACAGGAGGGTTAAAGGGCTGTTGTAGCTTCTGTAGCCATCAAAGTATGTGACTGCATCTAAATCCTCTGGTGGTCACTCTGTTTGGCAGCAACTATAACAATGTGTAGTAAAATGGTTTAGCCAGAATATGTCCCAGAATAGAGTGTAACATCAGAAGTAATGGCCATCTGAAGGTAGCAGAAACAGGTTATGAACACAGCACGGACACGTCATCACCTCAGGAGCTGCATATTTATACGTCCTGATTCATTCTGACCTGTTTCTGACCAGTCCAAATATTCACCAGTGTTCTTTTAGCCATGTTTTAGTGTGATTAGGTTCATTTTGTCTGCTCTGATTTTAGGTATAAGGTTTCTTTTTTGTCAGACAGTGTGAGATAGGAGCTGTTTTTACCTTTGACATGTTTCACCTGTGACGTCAGTCGTCCTCAGAAGCGTCACTGACGTCTGTGGTGACGTGTCTTCATCAGCTGGTGGTTTCCTGGAGGCGTGGCCCGCCTGGTAATCTGTCAGATCCGCCCGACGAGCCACGCCTCCTGCCACCCGGGGGTCTCTGCAGGAGAGCAGCCCATGTGTGGGACACCATGATGCCCCCTCATTGCAGTTGATGGTGGCTTCGGCTTCCCTCCTGATTTCTATGGCCTTTAAATTTGTTGT